TGTCATGTGACAGGTGAAACAATTACATGACTTATTTAATATAAGTAATTATGTGATCACAGTAATTATTATATCATATGTCACATAGATGGAATATATTTATTGATATTAAGTTTAATGATTGTTAATTTTTTATTAAAATTATGAGTTTATATAAGTGACAATGTGACTCATTTAACATCCGTAGTCATTACATATTACGTAAATAAAAAATATTTAATAATATTAAATTTGATGATTGTTAATTTTTTGTTAAAATTATAAATTTATGTAAATATAAATTAAAAAATAAAAACTTATTTGCATACTATAAAAAGAATAACAACTTACGTATATAAATTGTCTTATTTTATCGTTACTTGCCTAAACTTTTCTAAGGCACGAGTGAAAAATTTTGAAAGGCTTTGCAATCGACATCGTTCTTTTATATCAAGGCTACGACGTCGTTGAAAGGGGCTGAAAGAAAATCAAAAGCCCACAGGCGGAAATGATTTCGATATTTGTTTTTTCTCTTTTTCCTTCACGCTCTTGTTTCACAAACCAGGAAGCCTTTACAGATCATTATCTTCTTCTTCATTTCTCTCTCTCTCTCTTTCATTTTCCTCTGCTTTTCTTCTGTTTCTCGTGCCAAACAAATCCAAACGGTTTAGGTTTTCTCCTTTAAAATTTGCTGTGCAGAGAGCTAGAAAGATAGGTATGGCAGAAGAAGAAACAGAGCTGAGTGAGGAGCAAAGGAAAGAGATCGCCAAATGGTTCCTCCTCAACGCCCCCGCTGGCGAAATCCAATACGTCGCTAAAGGTCTCTATCTCTATATCTCTCTCTAGTGTCGTTTTAGCCTCGCATTTGCCATTGTCGTTGTCGTTTTAGTTTTCGATCGATCAGTTTGATGAATTAGTTCTATTCTCTATATCGTTTTTGGATTCGCATTTGATTTGGATTGATCGGTTCGAGTGTCGATTTTTCTTATATAATTTTTATATATAATATATTTTTTTGCAGATTTAAAGTCGGTTTTGAATGATGATGACGTGTACAATGAGGCGGCATCGGAGGCATTTCCGGTTTACAACAAATCTCACATGATTTGCCTCGAAATGCCTGGTAGATTCGGAGATGTTAGTCTTAGAAACCCTTAATATAATTTGCTTTAGTGTTAATTATTCGTAACTTAAAGTTATATGTCTAGTAATGTGATTGGTTAGGTTTACAGAAATGTGAGTGCATTTGATATGTTTCGGGATTGCTAGAAATAGCTTTCTTTTAGTTCATGCATTATATGTTTTTAAGGTATGTATTTATTATCGGGAATTGCCTTCATATTTGTAGTTTATGTTGGATTATGCATAATAAATACAAACATGTCTTAGTTGGTTAAGTGTTGTAAGTGGGGCTTGAATGCTGGAGGTTTATATGTCATTTTAGAGTGCCTTGATTGTTTACATTAGAGGCAATGAGTATCGATCGTTGCGTATTAAGATGCTTCATTTCTAACATCTTATAAATAGGATATTGAGCTCTTTTTCCATGGTTATGGTCCCCAAGTCATCCAATTACCTCCGTTTCTCATATTGGCTTGTTCTCTTTTAATCAAATATGATGATAATTACAATTTCTGGTCTCTTTGTTCAATGCTGATTTCATTGAATTTGGTTCTAAAACAAATCTGATCGTTGCAATGCTGTCCCATTGGAGTTTAGGTCCTTGTTACATCATATGGGGAGCTTCAGGATAATGACTATCTAGACCCCAAGACTGCTCAAGTTGCCATAGTTGACCATGTTAAACAGGTACCTTCTAGCCTTATTAATGCATCTTGCGATTGAAAATTCTTAATACCATAAAAATTTCGAAGAACCTTTGCTGTAAAATCTTTTCCTGAAGTTGAAATTTTTAATATTCAGTAGTTTTCTTCCTGATGATATGACGCTTAGAATGTTAATCTGTTATTTAATTTGAATGTTTATATCATGATGTCCTAAATTGGTTCAGGTTTGTACAGAGGTGAGACCTGCCACTGATGAGGAGCTTCCATCCCCGTATATTGAGGAATACCGGTAGGCATTACAGCTCTAATGGACTGATATTATTTTTAATTGATTTCTAATGAACTATTAGGAGCATCTCTCTGTAAGATTTAATAGAGTTGACAGAATAATATGAGGTCTTTACATTTCAAGTGCCTTTCCTACATAGCAGGATCCATTAGAACCTCCTTAGATCTAATTTATGCCATGTTTGCTGACATGGAAATGACTTGAATTTGAACCTGTGCCTGTTGTGCATAGTGACCCATTCCAAACGCGTAGCTTTTTGTTTCTATTGGGCCTTTACCTGCATGTTAGTGATGGGATGAATGTCTCTGCTCAAAACTTCACTGCCTATTGTTTGCGCTGTAGCTATTGTGTTTAATTGTGGCTGTCCTATGATTCTCTCCCGGCTTCGACTCCTCTCCTGGATCGATACCAAGGACTGTCCCAGGAACTATAAAGTTGCTTAATGCCATTTGATGGTTATTGCTGAAACTAGCACTCATCATGAACAGAGAAGAAATCATAGTTGCTCTTTGTATCATCCCTCCTTTCTATCATCAAGTTCTAAGCAAAAACCAATGGTAGTTTATCACTGGAATTAGGTGCATATCTGATGCTTTAATTATAATTTGTACTTAATTTCATTGTTTTTGTTGCAGATGTGCTTTGGACGCAGAAATGTCAAAGTATGTTGGTGAAGCTTATCCAAAAGGTTTTTGTTCAGTTTACTGTACTAATGGAAAAGATGCGGAGGGACCTGGATCTGATTTTGAGCTTGTTGTAGTGATTTCTGCTGCTAGACTTAGCCCACAGAATTTCTGGTGTGTTAAATTTGTTAGACTAGAATGTACTAGTAACTGTTCTACTGTGATTGCTTGATTGTACAGCTGACTAGCTATTTGATTATCTGTTAGTAGTCTGACAGAGGATCACGTAGAAACACATGACTGTTTATCTTCTAATAATGCCTTTTGTCTGTACAGCAATGGAAGTTGGCGGTCAATATGGAACATTGAGTTCAAAGACGATATTCAAATACTGGAATTAAAAGGCAAATTGCAGGTATTTCAGTATTTCTCATGCCTTAGTGCATGGCATATTTGAGACTCTTTTCTTCCTGCATCTCAGATCTGAATGAGTCAGTTCTTTTTCATCTCAGGTTGGTGCACACTATTTTGAAGAGGGAAATGTGCAATTAGATGCAAGACATGAATGTAAAGATTCTACATTATTTCAGGTTATTACAAAATTGACAAGCTCTTTTAACATTGCTTCCCTTCCCCCCCTCTCTTGTCTTCTGCCTTGGTTCTTTCTTTCTTGCAGTAGAAGTTGAAATTCTTTTCTTTTGCCTTTAAACTATTTTTAATAGTTTAACTATTTTGACATAGCATTTCAGGCTGATAACTGTATTGAGCAAATATTCTAATGTGAAGGCATGTGAGATATATAGTTTGGATATTACCATAAGCTGTAAAATAGGAGTTTTAGAGTTATTAACAGTGGCAGTAGGTAATTTTTGTTGGCCTAGTTTATCCTGCCCAGTGGCTCCTGAACTTGCATCAACACAAATTCCTTCTGACCTCTTTCTGCCATGTCCTCTTTCTGTAATTGGTTTCATATGATTAATACTTTCTGTGGTTGTTTCAGTCCCCTGATGATAGTGCAGTTTCTATAGCCACCATAATTCGCCACCATGAGACAGAATACCTGGCATCTCTGGAGGTTGCTTTCAATATGTCTGGTTTATTTCAATTGCTTGAGTTTTCTAGAGTTCTTTACTGACTGTCGAGACATAATGCAGGCATCCTATTTGAATTTGCCAGATACCACTTTCAAGGTATGTTTTGATTTGAAAAGCCTTTTTAGCCAAAAGTTGCTGGGGAAACCTTTTGAATTAGGTTAGGATACCATTTTTAGATTTGTTTTCAGCCGTTACACCCAGCTCTACTTGGGTTTTATTTGAAGGATACTGCTTGTTTCTCAATCATGCCAGTACGTGGATGATGGAACCTAACACCATTTCTTGTGTTTCTGTGGAAAATCATATTGCTGGTAGGAGTCATGCTGGAGCAATAGATAAACCCTAGCTAGAATGCCCATCTACAGAGAGAATATTAGATCTCCTGATGTCCATCTAGAATACTCGTCAACTTCAGGAACCGGTTAAAATGAAACTAATGCTCTTAAAATTTTTATGTGCCATGCAGGATCTTCGCAGGAAACTTCCTGTTACTCGAACCTTATTCCCATGGCATAACACTTCACAATTCAGCCTGACAAGAGAGATATCAAAAGAACTGGGAATTGGAAAGTGACTATACCATACCAAACTCATAAAGCACATCCCTTGATGCATAAAATTGAGTTAAGCTGGGTTCCCCGGTCACCAGATTGTATCTGTAGTACAGGTTCTGAGAGTTTACAACTGTTGTTTCGCCTCCAACCACCTTGATTTTACAGTTATCTGTTATTTGGTATGCAAGTTGTGTTCTCCTGCAAGAGTCTCAAATTTTGGTGTGTTTATCCCGCATCATTGTTTACAAGCCGTGTATAGCATTGCTTTGAATAGTTCCCCGACATTTTTCTTGTGGTGCTTGTGGAAAATTTTAGTACGTATGCCTGAGCAATTGTATGTTCCAGATTCCAGTCTCATAGATCATATTTGAACCCCCATGGGAAAATAGGAACAATATTTAAATTGTTAGATTATGCTTTTCTACTATTTAAGTATTAATTAATCTGCCTTCATTATTCTAATTTGAGCAAAAAAAAGTTTGGAATTCCGTTGCCGGGTATCGAACCCGGGTCTCCTGGGTGAAAGCCAGACATCCTAGCCACTGGACGACAACGGATTGCCTGTGCTTCTCCCCTTACTTTTTTTAAAAAAGTAGTCCAAGAATCATAGTGGTGTGAATCGAGGACGTTTCACAGATTAAAGATGTTAATATTGATTCATTGAGTCTCACGATTTATCTTAGAAAAACGTCTCACAGATTAATACTTAATTAATCCGATCTCAACCTGATACACGACCAAAGTGGAATTCGTTGGTCCCCTCCAATAGCCGCAATCTCAGATCCGATCCCTCTCTCTCTCTCTCTCTCTCTCTCCGCAGTCGCGATAATGGTAAATCAGAGTTACGTTCGTGGGAATACAATCGAGTATCTTTGAGGCCCCCCGATGATGCATTACTAACCATGCTTCTTCTTCTTGTTTTTTTTTTTTTTTTCAAATTGATTTTCCTTTATTATTTCTTCGGGTCCATTTGCTGCCTCTGGAATGATGCTTCTTTAGCCAAATCAGACTATTTTTGATGTGCTCCGTGAGGCATCCTCTTTCAAAGCTTTTCTCTTAGTAACCGGTGATATAGCTTTGGTTGGATGCCTTTCGTCGAAGCGCATCCTCTGATGATACACTTGAGATTGGTTGCCTTGCTGACCCAGAGTTTGCCCTTATTCAGCAAGTGGGAATTGTTTGATTTATCAAGCAAAGTTATATTTCCGCGGCTCTTGTTGTATGAATGGATCCCCTTGCTCTCCAGGGAGCTGCCCAACAGTGTGCTTATAATGAATTTTTTAAGTAGTTCATATTCTCTGCGTTTCTGCTTCTCTTCTCGTATCTGGTTCTCAGTGATGAAATGATGGCATAGGATTTTTGAACTAGTTGTCTTTTGAACCAACAAGAATGCAATTTTTTTAATCTGCACTAAGCGAGCTTATCTTTATAAAAGCACAACTCCTACTCTGTTGCAGTTATGATTGCTGGTTTTCCCTTTCAGGTGATTGGCAAAGTTCAAGAAGAGGCCGAGGGCCGTGCATTAAGCCATATGCATGTCCTTCTCTCGCCAATCCTTCTGTTGGTATCTCTAGTTAAACTTGCTCAGATAGAAAGCCGCCTGGGGTGGGCTGCCTAAGGGGCAGAGTTAGAGAAGAAGGTGCTTTTGGTGGAAAAGCTAAAAGCACCGAGCCTGGTGGAGATGAGGGGAGGGCTAAAGGCAGGGGTAGGTGAAATTCAGCTGGTAAACCCGGCGGAAACAAAGGTAAAACTCTCTATTTTTTTTGGTTTCTCTCTAGCTCCATTTTATGCATTCTTATATTGTTTTCGTTGCCATGTCAAATTCAGTGCGGGCTGTCATGTTCATCAAGGAATGACTGATACCTTAATCACCATTTTTTAACAGTCTTAAGGTTTAATGCCCTTCAATCTTCGTAATTGTTGCTATTGGTCTAGGACAATGGCATTCTTGTCTCTGCAATCTTTCTTCAGTTGAATGATATACCTTAATAGCATGAGCTGGATGGTGGATCGAGGTTAGGTCATTGGTCAAAATCTATTTGGACTCGTGAGTTTATGACATTGTTAATCATATCCATTCATGTCTCTGCAATCTTTATTCACTCGAACATTATATCTGCCTTGCATGAGCAGGATGGAGGTTTAGGTCATTGGTCAAAATCCCATTTGGATGCATGAGTTTATGACATTGTTAATCATATGATTCTTGTCCCTGCAATCTTTCTTCACTCAAACAATCTATCTTCCTGGCATGAGCAGGATGGAAGGTTAGGTCATTGGTTAAAATCCCATTTGGATGAATGAGTTTACGACATTGTTAATCATATGCTATAGTTGCTACCAAAATTGCATACATATCTATCATTGTCCATCCAAGGGACCATCACATCTTTGTGTATAAAACATAAGCAGTGCACTTTTGTGAAACAGGTGGGTGAACAAGGTCGTTTGATATTATGTTCAACAGTTCAGTAATTGAATTGGAAACAGTTTGGCAAACTTGAAGCATTATGTTTCATTTACAAACAAGATCAAATGGGATATCAGTCTTGCTACGCTGCTATTAGGACGGTTGCATGGAAGGAAGATTGCTAATGAGGAGCAGATTCAGTGTCTTATTCTCTTGATGTAAAACTTTTTGAAACAGAAAGTCAATTAGTAGTTTTCGTTCTTTGATGTCTTCAGTGGTGATGGTGCATCTTCGGCTTTCCCTAAACTTCTAAATCTCATTAACAGTTTCTAGTGTCTGGCAATGTATGACTATATATGGCTATATAGTTTTAACACTTAAATGCCTAATCTCGTCTTAATACACATTCAATGTAAGATTCATGGCTCTCTTATGGGCCTTGACATTAAGTTTATGTCCAACACAAATAGCAAAGTTCTTCCTTGGAAAAGAATAAAGAGCTGCAGATTGTGAATATCCCATCCAGTGTTTTTTTTTAAGATAGAATAAATGGCTCTCCATTTTCCGAATCTTATCGTTGACTTTCCTCTCCTCAAACCTCTTTTCGAAAAATATTTTTCTCAATTTATTTTAAAAAAAAAGTATTAAATTTTTTAGTAACGTATTTAAATAGCTTATCAAACACAAACATATCTCATATGCAGATATTTTTTGACTTTCTGTTGGAACCTTTGTCTTCAGAAACACATGCACACAGATAACGACGTTGAACTTGTTACTCCATTAATCTAAGGTTACTGTCCGCAGCACACTACCCCAGAGAGAAAATCTCAAAAAATTAAAAAGAAAGAAAGAAATTGTACTATTTTAATCAATTATCATCATTATCCAAATAATTGTTCTTCTTTTCTTCTTTGTTAGCTTTTCTTACAGCAACCACCTTTTCAGCCCGACAGTAACTGGATGCTTTCAGAATGGCTGAAATCAAAGCAGAACCTGCTCAACATCATACTGTGACCATCCCCATGGCCGACGACTCAGCTCAGAAGCCCCATAAAACTCAGCGTGTTGCCTCACTTGACATTTTCAGAGGCCTTACTGTGGCGGTACTCTTCATTTTCTGTTAAGCCTTTCTGTGAGCTGAACAGTTGGGGTTTTTTCTTTTTTAATGAATTTCTTTACTTTTTGTAGCTGATGATTCTAGTAGATGATGCTGGAGGAGAGTGGCCTGTGATTGGTCATGCACCATGGCACGGCTGCAACCTTGCCGATTTCGTTATGCCCTTCTTTCTTTTCATTGTTGGCATGGCCATTCCTCTTGCTCTTAAGGTTGGTGTGATCTTCTTCTTCTTCTTCAAAGCTAATGAACTAGCAGTTTGGATTTACTACAGTGAGTACCTTACTGTCTTTTTCTTCCTCTCCGAGACTATGGGTAATCACGGATAAATTTCTTGTAGAGAATACCAGGTAAACGCAAAGCTATCCAGAAGGTGGGTTTCAGGACTTTGAAGCTCCTCTTTTGGGGTCTCTTATTACAAGGTTGGTTTCCTTCGTTTGTCATATACTAGTAGCTGTCAAGGGAAAAAGGTTGAGACTTTGGAGGGTGATCAGTTCCTATCTGCTCAGGGTTTAGGCATTCATGGTGTGCTAATTATCACATTTAGCTGAGGATATTTATCCTAACAAAACGTTATAGAAGATTATGGTGTATAATTCATAAGCAACTAATTGACTTACCAACCTAGCAAATGTTATTGAAGCAGTTATAGATTCCAAATTGAGAAATTCTTTTGTCTTAATCCATCTCTGCAAATTCTAAAAGAGGAGGGAAAAGCTTTTGATGCTAACTTTGGATCCTTATATCTGTCATGAAGGAGGGTATTCACATGCTCCTGACGTGCTAACAAATGGCGTTGATATGAAAATGATAAGATTCTGTGGCATTCTACAGGTATATGTTCCTGATGTTAATTGCAGAATCTAGTCCTTAGAAATGGCTTTAGGAAGTAAATTCCCTTTACCTTTTGTAGAGAATAGCTTTTGCATATCTGGTAGTGGCACTTGCAGAGATTTTTCTGAAAGATGCACAACCCAAAGATGTTTCAGCTGGTCATTTCTCTGTGTTCAGGTTATCCTGTTGGCATTGGTAAGTTCATCTCCGATTTTTCTTGGCATGGTATTTATCTCCATAATCATAATCTATACTACTAACTAGTTCTCTGTTTCCAAATCTACAGGCTGGTGGGTGCATGCATACTTATTATGTACTTGGCTTTACTTTACGGAATATATGTTCCTGACTGGCAGTTCACTGTCCAAAATAAGGACAGTGCTGATTATGGGAAGGTTTTCACCGTAAGCCCTTGGTTGCCCTTAATATCATCCTACAAAACCATAAAGTTCCACACAACGAAATCCTGCAGTCTATCCAATAGTATGCCACTCTGAGGGAAAGTTCTATCTGTTGTTTGATAAGATTTTCTGTATTTCATTTTAGGTAGCCTGCAATGTGAGAGGAAAACTGGATCCTCCTTGCAATGCTGTGGGATATATTGACAGAGAAATATTAGGGATCAATCACATGTACCAACGACCAGCATGGAGAAGATCCAAGGTGTGTTTTCATAGGCGCGATTCTGGCTGTCATCCTCTTTGAAAATTGAAATCACCTAGTTTACAGTGAATAACAGTTACAGGTCTGAAATCTTTTCCTAAAGTGCTGCAGGCTTGCACAGTGAATTCCCCTTACGAGGGACCATTTAAAGATGCCGCTCCATCATGGTGCCATGCACCCTTCGAACCTGAAGGGATTCTAAGGTCTGTTGACTCTGTAACACTAATTCCGTGTAGGAGTTATCTATCTTCACAACTATTGATCTCACACATTGCGTATGCTAATTGCAGTTCTATATCTGCTATTCTTTCCACAATCATTGGAGTCCATTTTGGGCATGTGCTTGTACATTTGAAGGTTAGGATTCAGGTTCTCGGTTATAATATCAAGATACCATTGCTTCTTGTCTTTGATAAAAAATGAAAAAATCGATTCCAGGGTCATTCTGAAAGACTGAGGCAGTGGATCATAGTGGGATTTGCTCTCCTTATTCTTGGAATTGTTCTACATTTCACAGCGATTCCTTTGAATAAACAGCTATACACTTTCAGCTATGTTTGTGTAACATCTGGAGCAGCAGCACTTGTTTTCTCAGCCATCTATATCCTGGTATGTGGTTTCGACAAGGAACTCTCAGCAGTCGAAAACAGTTGACGTTTTCCAGCTATCCTGATTCCTTATGCTAACCTGAAGCAAAAATTTTGGCTTGGCCAGGTTGATATTTGGGATCTGAAGCTGGTGTTTCTGCCATTAAAATGGATTGGCATGAATGCCATGCTGGTTTATGTTATGGCAGCTGAAGGGATCTTTGCAGGTTTCATCAATGGATGGTACTACGAGGATCCACATAATACACTGGTGGGTTTAGTTTCCATGTGAATGATTTACTCCATGAATTTGAATCAGTTTGAACTAATCTATGGCAATGGCAGGTATATTGGATTCAAAAGCACATATTCATTGGGGTTTGGCATTCAAGAAGAGTAGGCATTCTGCTCTATGTTATATTTGCAGAGATCCTCTTCTGGGCTATCATTGCAGGCATTTTGCATCGATCAGGAATTTATTGGAAGCTTTGAGATTTCCCCCAAGGCCATATGGATACTCAGTAACTTGCAATACTGAAATATTAGATACTTAGTTATTGAAATATTATATAATTTGGGCCTCCTTGAAACATGATTCCCACCATGGACGACTTAAATATTCGATTGTTATTGTAAGTGGTAGAGTGACTTTATTGTCACGATACACTAGCACTCAATCTTTTGTTGTTTCGATTCGTATTTTTTTTAAAAAAAAACTTATATAATTTTCTAATTTTTTCAGTAAATTGTCAATGATGTCAAAATACACGATCATTTTTTTATAACTTTTGTCATTTTTTAGTAGCATCGCTCGTTTTTTATCAATAACTTTTATAAATATTTAGCAACATTGACTTACCGAAATATCAATTCCTTTATTGTTATTTACTAATCTTGAATGTACTTTATCAATAGCTTATTTGCATATTCAGTAAGTCAAGATTACTGAAATATTAAATACTCGGGTTATTGAAATATCATATAATTTTATAATATTTTTCAAGAACTTTAGACTGCAAAATCAGTGATCTAGAAATGCATGATTATAATTTTTTGTATCCTTTAAGTACTATTTAATAATCTTTTTAAGTATTTTTTCAACGGCTTTTTATAAATATTTGATAATATCGGATTAACGTAAAAATAGAAAGATCCAAATTTGACTTAATTGAGAAAAATAAAAAGCTCAAAATTTGAAATACTTAGGCTTAAGATATGGCCCAAAGGTTAATGAGGAAGCCCAAAATATGGCCCATGAGAAAGAAACCGGCCCAAAAAAGGGGGTCCTACTTGGCTCAAAATGGGTCCGAGATAGCCCGAGAAGCACTCCCAAATCCCTCTCAGAGTCTCTCCATTTCTTCGAAAACAAGTTTGAGAACTATAAAGTAATAGAAACCCATAAATCTTTCAATTTTTCTCTGTCTTTTACCTTTCATTTTCGTTCTAATTCGACTGCTTCTTTGTTTCTGTGATCGATCTTTGGATCAAATTCGCCGTTGATTCAAGAACCGTCACCGATGGCGACCGCCATGGTAGAAGATTCGAACTTTGAAGAGGACCAGCTGGCGTCGATGACCACTGAGGACATCGTCAGAGCTTCCCGTCTTCTCGATAACGAGATTCGAATCCTCAAGGTCCCTCTCGATCTCTTCTTTTCTATTGTCTCTATGGTTCGATTATTAGTTTGCATTGTCCTTTTTAGGGTTTTTCTTTAATCCAATCTCACTATTAAATCCTGCCCATTTCAATGGCATTTCGTCTTCCAAATATTAACGATGTTGTTGTTTGGAATTTTGTTCTGGATATCGATTAAAGCTAAGTAATTTTTACATATAAGTGGAAGTTCTTTTTGTTGTTGGTGGGTTTTGAATTTTCTGGTTTTGGTTTAATTGGGAAATCTTAATGCTTAAAGCTAAGTAATTTTCTTTTCTTTTTTAAAGGAATGCAGCTATAGTATGTGTGAAGTTTCCTGATTTTTGGTTTAATTGGTTTGTGGATTAAAGGAGGAGATGCAGAGGACAAATCTCGAGTTGGATTCATACAAGGAGAAGATTAAGGAGAATCAGGAGAAGATTAAGCTTAACAAGCAGTTGCCTTACTTGGTCGGCAACATTGTTGAGGTAAATGTTGTGTGGCTCTTTTTTGGCCAAATACCTTTTGAATTTCTATGTTATGTCCAGTAATCTTCAACTTATTCTGTACTGGTATATAGTGATACTGTGTGTTAACGAACTCACAGCGCAATGAAAAGGGGAACTGACTGAATGATGAACCATTGTAGATGTAGTTATATCATGAACAGTCATCTGCTTGGATGATTTAAACCTTAATAATTACTATTTTCTTTCAGATATTGGAGATGAATCCTGAGGATGAGGCAGAGGAGGATGGTGCCAATATTGATCTTGACTCACAGAGGAAGGGTAAATGTGTTGTGCTGAAAACCTCTACTCGTCAGGTGAGGGCAGCATTATTTCTTATGTGCTACTACTAGGGCAAGTCAATAGTCTGTTATGTTATTCTGTAGCGAAACTAATTATCGAATCAACATTTTTTGAGAATTGAAAAAAGTGACAACAATGCTTAGTTTTGATCTTGACTTGTTTTGTAATCACTGCAGACTATCTTTCTACCTGTGGTTGGGCTTGTTGACCCCGATAAGTTGAAACCTGGTGATTTGGTTGGAGTCAATAAAGACAGTTACTTGATATTGGATACCCTGCCTTCAGAGTACGATTCTCGAGTAAAGGCTATGGAGGTTGATGAGAAACCAACTGAGGACTACAATGATATTGGTGGCTTGGAGAAGCAGGCAAGTTTTCCAATTTTGCCACCCTTTCCAAGATCACTTGTCACTGTTAAGCTAGCATTTAACACCTTTTTCTGATGGTTGTTCCTGTAACAGATCCAAGAACTAGTTGAGGCCATTGTGTTGCCCATGACTCATAAAGAGAGGTTTCAAAAGCTAGGCATTCGTCCACCTAAGGGAGTGCTCTTATATGGGCCTCCTGGTACTGGAAAGACTTTGATGGCTCGTGCTTGCGCAGCACAGACAAATGCCACATTTCTGAAGCTAGCAGGCCCACAACTGGTTCAGGTATGAAGTCCATTATCCCAGCTTACTTCTCTACCTGTTGGGATCCTGTCTATTCCTTTCAATTCATGTTGGAATCATTTTACCGGTGCTCCTTACTTCTTGATTATCATAGCATGACAGGAAAGATGAGAGCAATGAAGTTGTTTTCATTACCGTACGATATTAGTTGTGCATTTTTATCTGCTTACGTAGAGCCTTTAATAATTATTTAAAATTGTAATGCATGTAGATGTTCATTGGAGACGGAGCAAAACTTGTTCGTGATGCCTTTCAGCTTGCAAAGGAAAAATCACCATGCATCATTTTTATAGATGAAATTGATGCAATTGGCACAAAGCGTTTTGATAGGTAATGCTATATCTTAATCTCTTGGGAAGCAAATTTGTTTTGACACTGATAACACTGGCATTTATTTGTAGACAGAATCACTAATTATTGCTCTGTCTGTTACCACCTGCAGTGAAGTGAGTGGAGATAGGGAGGTGCAACGAACAATGTTGGAATTGCTTAACCAGCTTGATGGCTTTAGCAGTGATGAACGTATTAAGGTTTGAAAGAATGGAACATAATTTTTGTGCTAGCTGTTTGAAAAAATATAAGCGATCTATTCTAATGTAATGCATGTATCGTAGGTGATAGCGGCAACTAACCGAGCTGATATCCTTGACCCTGCTCTGATGCGTTCTGGTCGATTGGATCGTAAAATTGAGTTCCCACATCCCAGTGAAGAAGCTAGAGCTCGAATCCTTCAGGTATGACTTTCAATATTGCTGCTTCATGGTTATGACGTGCAGATTTTATTGAATTCTTTCATTGTTTTTCTAGATCCACTCAAGGAAAATGAACGTTCACCCAGATGTCAATTTTGAAGAACTTGCTCGATCTACTGATGATTTCAATGGAGCACAACTAAAAGCTGTTTGTGTGGAGGCAGGCATGCTTGCTCTTCGCCGTGATGCAACTGAGGTGCACTTTCTAATCTCCTAGGAGTTTATCTACCTTTTTGTTTTGTCAACAAAGTATATCTTAAGGTTACATGTACAGAATCAGCATTTAGGTATTTCATATTGAACGTGCATGTATATTCATATATGTATATGTGTACGTATAATTATTTGTATTGGATTTATTTGTGAGCATTTTAGCTGTGGGAGCAAGTACTAAAATGGCTTTGGGTCCTTGATTTACAGGTGAACCATGAAGATTTCAATGAAGGTATCATTCAGGTTCAAGCTAAGAAGAAGGCAAGCTTAAATTACTATGCATAAGTGGGACGGAGCATTTCACTGTGAAGAAGGGACCTTTTGAGCCAATGTCAAGGGGGTGGCTGAGCAGTTTACAGTCTGAGAGAAGGTGCCTTTCAAGCCAAGTCCAGGAGGTGGCTTCTTCATGCTGAGAATTTGTTTATACACGTACTTGACTGCCCAGCTGTTTTGGGCTAGGCTTTTCTTTCTTCTGCAGTTCATTTTATTTGAACCCTGCTATACTCAGGTTGTTTAGCAACAGATTAAGAAAAAAGGCTGACTTGGGACATCCCGAAATCTTTTTTATGCCAATGTCTCTGGTTACTGAATTCTGATGCCCATGCATGGAGGATGTGTAGTGAAAGGAATGTCTTAAGTGCATTAGATAAAATATTTAATGTGACCGTACTCTCATTATTAAAATCTGAAAAGGTTTTTTCTATATGATGATTCTGATTTCCAACTCAAGAGATATGGTTGATATGGTTGATAAAGGAAATATCTTTATTTATAAGGTCAAGGTTTATTTCATCGATGTGAGATTTTGTGATATTTTATTTTATCTAATTATGCAATAGTCTTTCATTAATCTTATTTAGGTTCTTTTCCATATGTAAGTTGAGTTTGGTATCTTTCATGTAGATTCTCTGTCTAACTCAGACTTTAGTATCATTCATGTGGATTTCATAATTTCAATTTGAAAAACATGCATGTTAAGGGAAGGAAAACTTTTATTTATAAGATTAAAATCTATATCAACTCTTATTAAAGCGAGATCCATAACATTTGTATTAAACCTTGAGGTCATCTTGACGAGTGTTCCGACTTGTTGGAGGAATGGAAATTATGAGTTTTACCTTGTTGGAAATTTACATTTTGAGCTTATAATTTAATTGCTACTCCTTTTTCATTAGTAACAAAGAGTAAAAGGAGATACATATTTGCAAATCTGAACTAATACAAAGCTAATCACTCAGGTTTTGACAGCTCTAACTTCAAAGACAAATTGGCTTGCGATAAGGTTGAAGAAACCAAAAACAAAAGGGTTGGATAATTCCATCACCATCACACGACACATTCAAAAGTTAGAAAGAAGCTCTTTTCAGTACAGGAAGTGCTGTATCACAGGGTTTTACCTACAGGAAAGAGCTGAGTCCGCACCTTTGGTCAAATGGAATAAAGAGTAGTCGGCATCTTGTCCAGTTGCCCCAAGTTGAAAATTCCCCAAAAACAGAAGGATATGAACTTGGCCAACAATCACAGCATATCCCACTTGCCATCAAAGAACACACCCATGCAACAATAATGAACCAGAAAATGTTGGGAAACACACTATGTTTTTATTTCCTCAATCAAGTTATAAATATATCCTCCCCCGACACAAAAAAAAAAAAAAGACATTTAAAATGATAATAGTAAAACCGAGTTCAAGACCCTTAAAAAGCATATATATGAACAAAGACAAATACTAAATAGTTTAGAACTTCTTATATCTAGAATTACACAATTGCGGCTTATGGGGAAGCCGGTCTGCTATGGGGTGAAGAACTCCATTAACACTTGACTTCCTTCAAGCCATGGGCAAAGTACAGGAAGGTTGGATCGGTAGCACCTTCCTTGTAGTATGCAAACACCAGGCTACCATCATCATGCATGCTCTCGCCCACGAAACTGCAACATGATAACTCAAATGGTTTAAGTACCAATAATTTGATCAAATCAAGTTAATGACAGATAATCCAAGAAGATAGACAAGAGTTGCATACAATTGGAAATCCTTAAGCTTTGAAAGCAAGTACTTAGTTGCACCCTCGATGTTCTTCTTGAACAACTCTTGCTTCTCTGGCTCTAATTTGGGTGTCAAGTTCTTGATGTACCTCTTCATGAAGGTGACAAACTGCTTCTTGTCAAAAGCAGGTTGCTCCTGCAAATCACAACAACCACAGTTTTCAGATGGGAGTATCAAAAAAAGTCAAGCTATAAACCATGAAAGGCAGGTGCAGTTCATTTACCTGAAGTCTGAAGGTGTCGACAATGTCGACGACCTTGACAGCCTGATCATCAACACTTTCATCTTCATCTCCACCTTCTGCAGAAGGGTTAGCCCCAATGTCTACACTGACAGCTCCTTGGATAACCCACTGCAAATTAAGCCAAATCGTGTTAGTTTAACCAGATCGCATAAAATTCTATGGTGTCCTTAAAATCCATTAAAAGAAGCTATACAAACACAAGGAAATAAAGAAGGAAGAAAAGATTCCCACCTTCCCTTCAACTTCCCATAACATCCCATTCTCGATTTCCTTGTGTGCGAATGAGTCTGAGAGGAGCTCATCAGCTGAAAATTCATCAACAAGAACCAAATTCACAGTTACAAATCTGCAAATAGCTTATATTCCAACTCAAAACAACACCAAGACAACTTCATTGAACAAGTGCTAAGCTTTCTGCAAATTAACAAATCCTATGAACTCATAGTCCTAATCCCATATATGTTCTTCTGAACTAAGGGGAAAAGAAAAAAGTAACCACCCTGACAAAGAATTATCCCAAAAAAATCATACAATAAATAAAAACAGAGTAATCAACAATCAAAAAAAATTCAGCTCCCACTGTTCAATTCTCTATAACCAAACCATCAATCAAACCAAAAAAAAAACCCAAAATTTCAAGATATATAAATAAAATTCTAAGCAACAGAAGGAAACATACAGATCTTGGAACCAACAAGCACAGCAGCAACCAAACGAAATAAGACAATAAGAAGCAGAAGAAAGATTATACCTGTGAGAAGATCCTGATAAACCAACATATTTGCTGGGAATTAATTAATTCTCTTCCTTTTTTTGGCCTTAAATTTCGATTTCGGGAATTTATCGAAGAGGGAGAGTGAGAGAGAGCATTGGCAAGTGAAGGGCAGCGAGTATTTATAGCGGGATGGTGAAAATCAAGGGGGGGTTATTAATTTACCAAATTAGCCATTGATTTTCCTTTTTTAAAAAAATTTTAGCGAAGTAAGGAAAACATAATTGATCAAAATTCTAATTATTCATGTTGAATTCAATTAAAAATTACTATCTAATATTTATAAAAGATTCAAACTTATAATAAAATTAATTTTATGTATATTATTTTTATTAAAAATTAAACTATAAATTAAAATTAGTAATAAAAATTTAAAAAAGTAAAACTATATTTGATATAATTAAATTTTAATATTAAATTTTATTATTTTTATAATAAAATTCAAATAACAATTCGATTATCTAAATTTTATTCGAATTTAATATTTAATTATAAAATACTTAGTTTTTATATCTAAAAATATCCTACTTTGAGGTTTAACCGTGACGGTAAACGTGAGTCAAACTGAAACTCAAAAACATCAAATCTTTGTTCTGTTTTTTTAACCGCATGTGTGTCAGGGGGAACTGTTTCCGGTTAGTCTGGTAGTTACAGTTCACTTTTAACTGCTACTCCGGTATGTTCGCTGTTCAAATGGGTCCCACCATATCTAAGTTCATAGCATTTTGATTATTTTCTTGTATCTCCTAAGTTTAGTAGGTTTGCCTGGACAGATCTTTAAAAGTCTTTTTTTATTAATTTTTCGTCAAATACTTTTTATACATTATATTTTGGTTAAAATACCATAAAACCAATGCCAAATTAATTAAAATTGAGTTCAATATATTTGTATTTCATGTCTTTAAATATTGATATGTTTAAGATATATTAAACCAGTTTATGCATGACATATTTAATTCATTTAATTAATTATATTATTGTATTAATACACTTATGATATCAATTTAACAAGTTAATTGTGTTCAAATAAAATTTATTATGTCATAATCGTGTTGTGTTATGTAATACGTGTAATAATTATATTTATATACTTATTTTAAAATTTTGATTTATTTTATTAAATTGAATAATATACATAATTATTTTTATAATTATTAATATTTTATCTAAACATGACACAAATTATGATATCGCAACACTAATTATCGAATTTGCTAGTGAGTCATGTTTTTCTTTTTCTTTTTTGTCAGAATATTCATTTGAAAGGGAATGCAATTAGATTTGCTAAAAAGTGAAACTTTTTTTACTCAAATTATCAATGCCTAAAACAAGTTAATAGCCACTAAACTAAACTTTGGGCTGGCCAAAGAAGAGCAATGTTTTGTTTAAAATAAAGATTAGTAAAATTAAGTAAAGAATAAGCATTAGATGCATGGTATATTGTCTACCATTCACAAAAATGGAGGACAAAAATAAAATGGTCTTAAATATTTGGAATAAATGATGATACATCGCACTTCTTCTGTCTCATTTTTTTTATTTATCTTATCTTTTGAAATATTTTTCATATTTTTGTATTATGTTTTATTAAAATAAAAAATAAATAAAATTGTCTTAATTTTATAAAATTAAAAGTATAGACAAATATTTTGAAACGAAAATTACAACAAAATGAGGCATTATCGAAACCGAAACATCAATTTTAAAGTTCTTAGCTTCTGTATTTTGCGATTTAACATTACTTTTTTCGTAAATTGTTTAGGATTAATGGTGATTATGATTATGCTTTAAAATAAGAGCAGGGGGAGAATATCCATTGAATGGAGACATATTCCATTTTGACAAAAGGGTTATAGTGGGATTAGAATAAAGGTACAACTTTTGGCTTGGTTTGAACACCAAATTTGATCCCTAGTAGGCCACATACATCTCATCTTTGACATCCCCCAATCATTTCTATATGGAAAAATTACCATCAAATTATCAAGTATTAATTGGTAAAATAAATAAATAAATAAATAAATCAAGGGTCAATTTGTGTTTTCCAATTCATACAAATATTACTTTTCCCGTCTCTTTTCTTCATTTATATTTTTTTAGATGTCTCGAGCTAATTTTTTTTCCTTTTTTAAACATACATTTTTTCCTTTATTTAAGTAAATGTTTATATTATTTTTTTAAAATTTTAATTAAAATTATAACTTTTATTTTAATTTCGGTGAAAGTAATGTAAGGACGAAATGAGTAATATTTGTAAAATATATATTTGTTGATTAACAATTGAATGGATAATTATCTATTTAAAAACAAAAAAAGATGCTTAGAAAGTTAAAATTTTTGGAATAAAAGAAAAGTTCTTATGGCAATGGAACAAGAGAGAATAAACATAAACAATTAATGGTAAAAAAATTTAAATATATTTATTTAATTGTATATTTTAATTTAAATTGAAAATGGTAAAAAAAAAAGGAAAAAGAAAATCTGTTATCTGAATTCCGAACACAACTAGCAATACCTGCGCTTTTACCGACCTGAAGGTCCGATTAACCGAATCGGGTCTGAACAAAAAACCCTACTCATGCGAAGGAAATTTACAGCCGGAAAACTGAGCTATGAGAGTGAACCGAGCGAGAAGGCTCGGAGCGGCCCGACTCCCTCTCCGCGCATCTCTTCCTTCTCCAAGCCATCGCGTCGCCACCGCTTCAAACGCCGTTTCCTGCTGGTACTGCGACCTAAAAATCTCCGCCTTCAACGAGCCTCTCTTCCGGTTCGGGCGAAACCACGCGGCGATCCTCAAACTCTGGTTCTCCATCGGGACCGGTTTCGGCCTGACCGCCCTCGTCGGAGTCACTTTGATTCTCATTTGGCAACTGTTCCTTAGGTCCAACGCCCAGCTAAGCAATCTTTTCAGCTCCCTTTTGTTCGGCTTTTCCCCTTCTTTAAGAATCTCACTGTCGGATGCCGGATATTTGTTCGTCTCAACGTTGGTCTCTGTTGCCGTCCATGAATTTGGCCACGCCGTCGCCCTTGCCAGGTCAATTTTTATTTATATCTGATTGCAGTAGAAGGAATTAATGTTGCAAGTTGAAAATTTTGAGTTTCAATGTTAGGTTTTTTCTCATGTATGTTACCATAGGTGAAAAAGCAGTGAGGGAATACAGTTGGAGTACATCGCCGTTTTTATTGCCGTTCTGTTTCCTGGTGCTCTGGTTGCTTTTGATCATGATTTGCTTCAGGCATTGCCACGGTTAACCGCTCTTCGTGTATATTGTGCCGGTATCTGGCATAATGCAGTGGTAAGCTCTTAAATTCATGATCAGTTTTTCATGTTTAGGTGAATTCTTTGATTCGTTTAGGCTCAGTGCAGTATTGGTAGTTGGGTTGCAAACTGTGGTTTGTGAAACCATGGTGAGAAGCTGGAGTTTGTAATCCATAAAAAGCATTGTGTATTTGTCATTGTGGTCCAAATTACAGTTTCATAACCTAACCAGAATGTGGAACTGTGACTTAATTTAATTTATCTCCTTTGTAGTTCTGTGCAGTTTGTGGATTGTTGTTGTTCCTGAAGCCTGTGATCCTGTTTCCATTTTACATACATGCTGAGAGCCCCTTGGTACTTCATTTCATTTTTCTCATTGTCTCTTTCTATTCAAAAGCATGATTGGTTAGACTTGACTTGTTATACCTTCCCTTGTCTTGGATAGGTTTTGGATGTAGCTCCAGCATCACCGTTATCTGAGTTCTTGTCTCCTGGGGATGCAATAGTGTCATTGGATGGTGTGCGAATCCATGATGTACAAGATTGGGTGGAGATGACTTCTGTACTAGATAAAAAGATACGTCAAAATTCAAGTGATTTGCATTATTTTAAAGGTTTTGGTACAGTAGATAACAGAAAGGGATACTGTGTGCCTAACGCGTTGTTGGAAGACAGCAAGAAGGTTCAATTGGTGGACAGCCAATCTATTTGTTCTAATGATCTTGTGGCATTTGTGAGAATTCACTGCTTTGATCCAAGTAAGTTGGAAGATGTGGGTAATGACGATGGTCAGCAGGGAAGAAGAGAAAATGAGCTCTGTTTGAATGCAAAGGATATTGTCAAGCTTGAAAAATGCGGTGATGGATTGGGAACAGTAATGACGAATGGAAGCAGTTGCATATGTTCCCAGGTAGATATCTTATCTTTAAAAGCATAAAACTTTAGCATTTTTCCTTTGTCTCTTACTTGCTTCAAGATGATGCAAGTAATATATCATTGAATGCTAACTTTTTTAATTTGGTGTCTGTAGGATGAGTCTTGCTTAAGTCCAGTTCAGTTGCCAGGTTTGATGTGGGTTGAGATTACATATTCAAGGCCTTATTCAACAGAATGCTTGCAACTTAGAAGTTCCCTTCTAGATTCCAATACTTCTTATGCTGTAGAACAGAACTGTGGAGGAACTTTTGTTTTCGTTGGTGATGTGATATCTATGGCGCATTCAGTTCAGTTAACCGTATATCGACCCCGGTGGAGAATTTTTCTTGGCGAATATCTTCCAAATAAGCTGGAAAAGAGCTTAATATGCACGTTCCATGTCTCTCTAACACTAGCTCTTCTCAACAGCTTGCCAGTAAGTATGACATTTTCTGATTTTCACTTCATGGAAAATTTCCCTTCTGTATAAGCATTTGCTTTTCCACCTTCATTGCATTTCAGGACATCACTCTAACCAAGAGATAAGATCTATAAATGAAGGTGAATGCTAGAATGATTCATATTAGGGAAAGAAAATATTTTATTGTCTAAGTAGATTATGTCCTGGGTAAATGATATATTTGCAGATAAACATGCATATATGACTTCATGATCAACATTAGAGGCTAATATAGTTCTAAATTTTAATGACTAATCATTATATTGTTTATTAGGTATATTTTCTTGATGGTGAATCAATTTTGGAGGTGACGTTGTCCCACTTCACGTCATTGAGTCCAAGGAAAATGAGAAAAGTTCTTCAAATATGCCTTGTCGGAGGGACTTTCATCTCTGTTCTGGCTTTCTTGAGGGTCTTCTTTATCAATTTCTTGTAAGGTAACTTGTGTAATTGTAGTATAACTCTCTTGCCCTTTGCTCTTTAACTAACCTGCACGTTAAAGTCAAAAGAAAAGGAAAGATTTTGTAACTTTTCCATTTCACATTTGCTTCAAACTTTCATCGTCTTAACTGAGTAAATTACATGATTGGTTGCCAAACTTTCACAATAGTGCCGGTTTTAATCACTGAACTTTAATTTGTCTTGACTATGTCATTGTTGAAGTTTGCAAACTATACCAAATCCAGGCACCCTAACAGATTTCATCCAAGTGACAGACAAAAATGACTTGGTTTTAAGTCTTTTTCATCTGAAACCATTACTTGGTTGGGTCGAATCTGTTGGGATGACTGAATTTGATATAATCGACAAACTTTATCGACTTATTTGAGACAAACTTTAAGTTTAGTGATGAAAACAGGAGTTATGTGAAAGTTCAGTGACCATCCGTGCAACTTGCTCTATTTATTCTCTGAAATTTAACTGTTCCAATGTTGCTGCCGTCCAAAAAACTGGATATTGGCAGCCGCCGACATATCCCTTAGAAGCCGTGCAAGCGAAGCATGGCTGGCTCCCTTTTGGGTACCAACCTCGACTCAAAAAATTAATGCATTTGTTTATGTAATGTGAATATTCCCTCATATGGCCGGTTGGGTTACGTACAACACAAAATTGTGGATTCGTAGCTGCCAAAAAAAGGACAAAAATCCAAACCCATAGCCAGCTTTTACTGTGTAACTCTTTTACTTTACAGTTTGGTTTCAACCTAGTTGATCGGCCTAATCAAAGAATCGTTGAAATAGGATTCTTCAGTTGGGGAAAAAGTGAGGTGTCCTAGCTCATAAGATCGAATCAAGCCCTTTATTCCATTACAATTTTCTTCCGAAATAATACTCTTTTTATCCTAATAATCTCCTTTTGTTCTCTTTTTATTTTAATTTTCATAAAAATAAAAAAGAGATGAACATTTAGAGACGGAAAAGGGTAGTAATGAAAAATTAATGCAAAATGGTCATCATGCATGCCTTTAATAATTTGTAGGTTACCTTGTCATTTCAATTATATTTAATGCGGTTGGTGGTTCCTTTAAATAAAAATAAAAATAAAAATTAGAGCAATAAACTCTTTTTTTCTTCTTCCTTCAAATTTGTCCGAAGGATGATAAAGTGACAATGACATTTTATTCCATTTGTTAATTGAGATTTGTTGAGAATATTAAATGCAAGCAAATCCATTAATCAAAGATTAGAGAATTCTTCACGAAGAAATATAAATCTAGAAGAAGCTCAAAGGGAAAAAAAAAAAACAATTTTATATTATTAACACTCCTCTCGTCCAGTTCTATTTTCTTTAATCATCTTTCGGTTTTGAGTTGTTCTTAAATGATGTTTTCATTTTTGGGGTACATAATATTTTTATTTTTTATTACAAATTAAAGAAATTATATTTTAATATAAAATATATCAAAATTAAAAATTTTATCTTAATTGTCGTAAATATTAAAAATTGATAAATATTTAAAAATATTTTTATATTTTAATCTAATTTTACTTTTTTCTTTTATTTTTCTTAAACTTTAATTCTTCACACGAGTCACTAACTAAATAAATATTATTAATAAAATCAAAAGACGAACCAACATTTTCTTATTTTTAACAATTTTTTTTGTTTTACAAATGTAATGTGCACTGGTTTTGAAAAGAACATTTTCTCACATGCCAAACAGCTTTTTATCGACCCGTTACCAACTTTGACCCGATTCGATTCCAAATTATGGCCACCCAATTTTCACCCACCGTTTTGCTTAATCCAAAAAAAAGGCTCACAGATGAGAGATAATATTATAAAAATAAAATAATTAAATATTGTTCGAGGAACAATCGATGTCAACCAAAAAGCAATCCAATCCGTAGAATGAACGTTAAGAAAGAATCTGAGCCGTCGGATGGCTCCCATTTTGGACAGCGGTTATTTCGTCAACTTAACAGTAATCCTATGGCCTAGTCGAGATCGAACGGTCCGAAATTAAGATTTCTTCGAAGACAGAGAAAAAGAAAGCGAAAGAGAAAGGCAATAACCCCCCAAAAAAAAAAAATTATAAAGAAAAAAAGGAAAGCGCAGAAAGATAAGGGAGAGCAACAGATTTTTTCACTTCCGTATTTTCCATCAACCTTCCAAAAAGGAAAAAAAATTTTTTTTCCTAATTTCTCTGTGCTTCTTTGGTCAATCAGAAGAGGAATTTAAGACGACGAGTGGTTGGGGTTTGTGTTTGTAATTTTATCCGATTGAAATCGGAGGTCGTGTTGGTAAATTAAGGGAGGAGGAGGAGGAGGAGGAAGAGGACGAGGGTGATTTAGACGGTGTTTGTGTTGTTTTATTTTGGGGAATTTAGGGTTTTGAGATTTTGGGGGTGGATTAATTTTGACTTTTAATTTATAATTTGTTTTAATTATGGGATTAGGGAGTAATGGTGGGGATGATGTTGTGGTGGATGACGGTGATGGAGGTGGCGATGGTGGTGATTGCGGTAATGGAGAGAAGTCTTTCTGTTCTGTTTCATGCTCGATTTGCCTCGAAACAGTTGCTGATAATGGGGATCGATCGTGGGCTAAGCTTCAATGTGGTCATCAATTTCATTTGGGTAAGTCAAAATTGGCAAGATTTGGAACTGATTTCTTTCAAGGAATTGTTTGATTTTTTTTTAATAAAATTGGGATGTTAAGATCTGGGCTCAAGTTTTCTTATTTGATTTATTGAGTGTGTCTAGTTTTGGTTTAATTGATGATGTAAATGAGAAAATCATTAAGCTTGAATATTTTTTTATTGCTTATGCTATATTATAAGCTGAAAATGAAAATTTAGCTTGATAAAGATGAATAACTAGGTTAATCAGACTCAATCTAATAGAGATTTGATGTTTCAATAAATTGCCTTTTTTTTGTCCTTGAGGTGAATAACGACGTCCTATAAGATGATCAAAGTGAATTTTGCATTGCAATTAGTTTTTGGGGACAATTCGTAGTCGGAATCGAATTAGAACAAAATTTCCAATGTGCTTCTAAATTTGCCCATAATAGTTATATCGACATAGTTTGATGAGCTGCAGCTTAGGAGAGGCCTACTAGTATGTAGATTAGTTGAATATGAAGGGTTTGCAAGTAGGTTGTATGTTATTTTTGTTGGTGTGATTGGCAACAGCTATAGGAAATTATCGTTCCAAATCTGTTTTAAAGGTTCTAATAGATTATTATATGTTTTGTAATGATTGTCTTCAGATTGCATTGGTTCAGCATTCAATATAAAGGGTGCGATGCAATGCCCTAATTGTAGGAAAATTGAAAAAGGTCAATGGCTTTATGCCAATGGTTGCCGTTCCTATCCAGAATTTAGTGTCGATGATTGGACACATGATGAGGACCTTTATGATCTAAGTTACTCTGAAATGGTAATCGAGCAACATTTCTATGCAAATCCTTTTTTATGCAGTTTCAACATTCATGGCATGCCAAATGGTGTATTTACATTTCTTTTCTAAGTTGCCTTGTTTGTGTTTACATTTCTTTTCTTTTTGCATCTTGATATGTTCAACCTTCTCATCCCTTGCCCTCCACCCTATTTTACTTTAAACCACTATGCACTTTATTGGTTTAGAGTGAAATTTGATTTTTGAAGCTCCTATTTGATGAAGAAAATTTCCTTTACTAAATCCAAGCCAATCTTCATTTCTTAGAGTTCAATAATTTCTTCCCAAATGAAAATTTGCAGATTATAGTTTTAATTGCACTGCACCCTAGACACCGCTTGCATTAACCTATACAATCATGTCTCCATGTTGCTTGCATTCTTTGGCTCTATATATGCATACACTTTGAACTGACAGATGAGTCGAATTGAAATCTACTTGCTGCGTACTTATTATGGTTTTTGCAGTCATTTGGAGTTCACTGGTGTCCATTTGGAAGCTTAGCTCGACTTCCTTCATCATTTGAGTAAGCATGAATCACACATTAGAGGTTAAATCTGAGTAGTTTTCTGCTTCAATTTTCTATGCTGAAACGTGATCAGTTGTCACGTGTTCACATCAAATGTTTGTCTCCTTATATTTTTCATGTTTTCTGGGATGAATCTTTCAGTAAACAACTGGCAGAGAGAGAGAGAGTTTGATGGGAGGGTGGTATCTTCTTAGTTAGAAATTGATTTTAGAAAATGGCAAAGCTTTATCCTTTGCTTATGGTTTGTGGTGGCAAAATGGCCTTGGAATTCAAGCAAGTAGTGGATCTGCTTGTAACCTGTATAACCTCTATATAAAAAATAATATGTAACTCCAGCTTGAATGTGATAGAAGTAGTTTAGATGGTTTAATTTCTGCAACCTATGTCATGTGACCCAACGCCAAAACTCTTTATTGATGGTTCTGTGTCAGTTGAAAACTAGTTCTGTATGAGATAGATAAGAGGAATTGCCAATGTTTTAAGAGGTATTGGGCATCAAACTCATCATTGGGTTGAAATTTTTTCCTGAGCTTAAATTAATGGAGCATAGCATTTTACCATAACTACAGCATATTGTTTACTTCATTGGAAGTTGTTTCTAAGTTGGAAAAGCTTTTTTAGTATGTCATCATTAACTCTCCCATAGGTAAACCTGCTCTTTCATTTCTGTACATGTATCATTATAGTTTTGTTTGCTTAGTTCCTCTTGCCATGTTCAAGTTTCAATAATATTCTTTCCTTTACATGTTTTGTTTTTCCTTCTTTTTCAGGGAAGGAGAGTTTTCATCAACCACATGTAAGATTTTTCCTTGTTTTCTTAAGTGATGCTTGTCTGTTATGGGTTCTAAAGGTGGACGTTGGCTGGCCTAATATGCTGATGTGAGCTATGTTGGATTGCAGATCATGAGTTACTGGGACAACATGCCATCTTTGCTGAACATTCAGCAGTATCATCTGCTACTCATCCTTGTCCGTATGTAGCTTACTTTGGGCCAACAATTCATCCCTCATCCTCAAATTCCAGTGGAAGTGTGTCAGATAGTTCTAATTTCAACAGTCACTGGAATGGTCCATCAGTGCCTAGTGAGATTCCTACCTCTTATGCTTTTCCTGCCGTGGATCTCCATTATCACAGTTGGGAGCATCATTCCCCTCCATTCTCCACATCTAGCAGTCGAATTGGTAGTTCTGATCAACCTTCAATTCCACCTGTCAGTCAAAGGTCAAGCAGGAGTAGTACCGATATGCCAAGATCGGGATCTTTTATGCATCCATTTCTTGTTGGCCACAGGTATGCGTCAACATGATTGAGATTTGTGATTGGATAGAGTTTTTACTGTTCCTTTATAGACTACAAAATCTGTAGAACATTTTACGGTTCTGTTCTGCAACCATTTTCTGGAAAACAGAAATGATCTGTTGCATAAATGCTTATGTTCAATTTTTTAGACTTAAAATATCATTCAGAAACATAAAACATTTTGTTAGACAGTCACATTGTTCAAGTATACAAACAAAATCATACAGAATCCATTCTGTTTCATCTTTTTTCTCCTCAGCTGATTATTTTTATTTCAATTGCTGTATTTCTACAGTTCTGGTGCAAGAGCAGGGAGTTCAGTTGCTTCCTCATTGATCCCGCCTTACCCTGGTAGCAATGCTCGGGCCCGTGATAGAGTTCAAGCTCTCCAGGCATACTATCAACAACAACAGCCTAGCACTTCGCCAGCCATAAGGACGCCCATTATTCCTGGCTCCCGAAGGTCGAGCAGCCATAGAAGTCTTGCTCAAGTTGGGCCAGTGGCCTCATCGTCTGACCAGGTGGGTGGCTTCTATCTTGTTCCATCTGGTACTTCAGGCCGTAACTTTCAAGAGGCAGAAAATCCTTTGTCAACTCGGTTCCATGCTTGGGAAAGAGATCATTTGCCTTCATTTTCACAAAACCAGGTTGACAGAGATTCAGGCTGGGGTGCATTCCACCAGGCAGCCGGTGGTTCAGATCCTGGCATAAGATCCAGCAGCTTCCGCCAAAGGCACGGATCTGAGAGGACTTCATCCCAAAATCGTTCATAGTCTTTTCCCTCTTTTAACCCCGTTTGGGTGAAGCAAACTACCTCTACTATGAATGAAACCAAAAGTAATGTATGCTTGAGAGACGATAATATGAAACTTGAGTCTGTCAATCCGGGCAGAGTGAAAATACTGTGAAAGTGGCCCGAAAACAATCTTTTTGGTTGCCACATGGCGGTGTGCTGGACTTGCCTTCCTCTGGTTCCTTCTGGCCTTCGAGGATATAAAATAATTTTTTTTTCCCAAAAAAGAAACTTTATGTTGGATAGAATAAGTGCGATTGATTTTAGCTATTGCTTTGTGTTGATAGAACCTAATGTGGCTTAGGTCATATGCATGAATGAAAAATCGTCCAAACATGCCTGGAAACAATCAGCCAAGACATGGAATCATAAGCCCATGGTAAGAGAATAAGCCTATAGTCAGGGATCAAGTGTTATGGGTTTTACATCAGCAAAAAATATGATTGATCTCGACTTTATAAATTTTTTTTTTTCAAAACGCGAATTCATGTTATACAAACGTGAATTAAAATATTATGAATCTCATATTTTGTCTATGCTGCCACATTTATATGATTGTAGGTTGCATATATTCTGGCAGTAATTGAATCCTGCAGCTTGGCTTACCTAGGAGTATTGGGATAAAAAGAGAAGAATGAAGCATGTTGCCATTTGAGTCTAAACCAAATGTTTGGCAAAATTTTGACTCAGAAAGGTGAAGAAATAGTGCCCTCTTGAATAACATAGATACCCGAAAACGCTTAAACAAGCATAAACTTGCCAATCGTGCCTCATTTGGGTAGATGGATGAACTAATGCCCATGCAAAGATTTGGAAAGTTAATCCCCTGCTAATGCTCAGGGCTTCTAAAGATGGAAACTTCACCCTCGATTCGGTCAGGAAAAACTCTCTTAAGGTATTCGTTCTTCTTGTCATTTCATCTGTTTAGAGATTTCTCTTCAGAATGAATGGTCAAACCAGTTCAATGTTGAGAATGCGGGGCTAGCAACAAAAGACGATACTCTAAGATGGTTTAAACAAATAATGACTTAAACGTATATTAGTTCACGAACTCAGTTATTAAGTCTACAAGCCATAGAGTTGAGAAAAGGTTTAAATTACTATCGCTTGATTAGTCAAAATCCAAATATAAACTAGTTCTTGGGCAAATTATCCTTATATTCGTGCTAAGAAAAGAGTACAATATACTGAAGGGACAAATCTTGTGATCCTTGGAGTTCGATCCACATCAATCAGATTGCACCTGTCAACCATAAAGAATTTATTAGAACGAAGCCAGAAGATGAATTGACAGTGGAAGAAGCTATCGATGATTCGTAATCTTTGGAAACTGAGATGTAAGTCACATACTGATGATGAACGTGATCGAGATATACTGCAGCTCCTGCTGCGTTTCAGTGGGCTTCTGCTCACGTGCTTACTGCAAGGCTGCATATCATCAAGAACAGCATTAAAAAAGTCCAAGGCAGCAGAACACTCAATCCTACCTCCCTCCCAAATCAAAATAACTAAACCTGAGCTATAACTTACAGATGCAGTTGGTGATCTGGATCTGGAGCGAGATCTGCAAAAAGTTCCAGAAACAATGAATTCAATATCCAGAACAATCCTCTACAACCTTTTGGTCCCAAGGCCTTAACCCACTTTCACCTCAGGGTAAGCATAATCATAAAAATGGAATATACCACCCATCTTAAGCAGCAACCGGCAGAAGGAGAATTAACGCACTACTCATGATCTCACCATTTAGTTATGATCTTTTCTACAGAAGGTCATGACTGCTAAATGGAACCAAAATGGAAAGAGAAAAAAAACCCAGTAGAGCACTGAAAGACATAAATACTTAAACGATGAAGAATATCCTCCAACTCTCCATCATCAAATGCAAAGAGATTCCAGAGCACAAAATAGTCGATGTTGGAGGAGTCCCAAGTATGTCCTATTCTCTGATTGTGGAGAATTCAGTATCAAAAGTAAAAGTACTTAATTCAAAGTGGTCCAGCTTTAAAATTGCAACCCATCCATTACATACTGATCCAGTCTAGCTCTCTTTGCGCTCCACACATCACAATATCAGAATTGTTAGACCTTTAATGGTTTCCAGAGGTGCTCATCGACAACGATAGAATTACCTCAACAACAAAAAGAGTTGCAGGCATTTGAGCACCACATCCCATCAAGTTCCTAACATCCAATCCCCAGATCGCCGCAAAGAGCCAGATCTAGCAAGGAAACAAGGCAACCCTTATGAAAAAGGTATGATAATTGGCGAACCAAGCAAGCCTTTTTCTCAATTACCCCGTCCAGTTTGGAAATATGTTTTTAAGTCTAAGCTTATAAAATAGTTTAAGGGTTCATATAACAAACAGAATGGGACACGAATATAACAAACAGACTGGGAAATGAATAAGTACAATATCTCACATTCAACATGACAAAGACAGCCTCAAAACCCTCTGTTTTAAATGGAGTCAAAAATTGCAAGGCATAACTTTTTAGTGAAAATGACGGCGATCAAAATACAACACCCCTTCATCCAATTATTCGATTCAACTAAAATAGATATAATTTTGAATTCTAAGAGAAGAGTAAATGAGAAACAAAAGAAAACGTTAACAAATGGACCAGTCTTAAACTGCTGACAACCACAAACGAACCAAGTAATGGATAAAAATAGGAAGCTGAAGCGTTCACTATAGGACACACTCTAGGAGTTTCAAACACCATAGCATGAAACCTGACAATGGGGATTTAGATGAGCAGAGCCATGCTAGTCATAAGGAAGGCTCAGATTCAGCTAGAGCTTGACAACAACTTAGCTCTTTGTAAATAGTCATGGAATGGTATATTTAAGTATTTCAGTGTCCACACAATAACTAATGTTCACAAGGCTTTCTCTGCCAAGCCCAAAGCTGATATCCAATCTAAGTACAACTAAATTGTAAAAAGATTAAGACTAAGCACAAAGAGCATGAAAAATGTACCAAAAGATTCTGTGAAAAAGGAATCCAGTATCAATCAAGTATTTCAATTAAAGTAAACAAAGGCTCAAAGAAAAGAAGTAAACAGCCAAATAGCATTAATTCCCAAGGCAAAAGTTTTTTTCATTTTTAGCAGAAGAGTAAGACTTCAATATTGAGCTGATCAGACCTAACTACTGGGCAAAAATAAGAATTTTGAAAGCAAGAATGCCACTAAAAATCCACTCATAAGGATTAAAAAGGGGACTTATGAAATAATTGCACTTGGCAATTGACATAAAAAACATTGGAAAAATAACAGTGACAACATCCAAAGGAAGTAATAATAAACTAAAACTTATCTCATACCTTGAATAGGAGCGGGCAGGTGACACTGAGCAGGAATGCGGAGAAAGAGACCTGGATACAGATGGAGATCGACGCGAATGTTTGGCCCTTGGAGGCTTGCTGTAGAATACGTCAAATAATGTAACAGGCAAATGGAATAAGACTTAAGTATTCTAATTGTTATTTTCACCAAACAATTGAAACTCACCTCCTGCTCCTACTCCTGCTCCTGCTCCTGCTCCTGCTACTATAGCTGAGGCTGCGACTAGGACTTCGACTATATGGGCTATGACTAGGACTTCTAGAGTAGCTGCGCCTAGAATCATATCTCGAATCATACGCCTTGACCTGAACAAAACAATTAGATACATAATCAAGTAGCGTTACACAAGCATGGATCCGGAATTATATGTGCACCATAACATACCCGTATATAAGCCCGGCCAAATGCATTTCGAAACTCAGAGTCATCAAGCTTCCTTATCTGCAGAGTCCAAATAGAAATCAGTAAAGATTGCCATTTATTGTTAAGAGGCTACAAAACTGCACAAACTCTAACTCCACATAACAAGTTAAAGTTTAAAAGTATGCAAGTTTGAAGAACAGTAGCTTACGGCATATTTCATATCATCATAGCTTGTATAATCTACAATCCCTGTCATGCCTGCAAAGAAATTGCAACAATATTAATATAACTGTCAAAAAAAATTTCTTTCCAAGATATTATTACTTAAATGTAAATCCAAAAGCAAAACATGTGCACGTGCAAACTTGCAATGCATCATTCTTATTTAAATACATAAAATCTAGCTTGTAAACCCACAGGGGAGTCCAATGTCCCAACAGCTTCCAACTCATTGTCATATTATAATCACAGATGTTCCTCTCAGGTTGCACAGACCCAGCATTCTCAACATGACCAATTCAGTGTGAAGTGAACTTAGAGGAATCTAAGCTCTTTCAACTGATAGTTATAGAATGAGGCATTAATGCATTAAACAACTCGATAGAGATTCTACTATAAAGATTCTACTTACCCCCACGATCACGAAACACTTGAGAGAAACAGACATCCCCAGCTTTGCGCATGTGATCCTGGTCAAGAAGCAAAAAACCATAAAACAAGCACAAACCAGGTCAAATGATCAACATACTTCTTTCATGGAGTCTAAAAACCTTTATGCATAGACCATGTTATTCCTTTGTACAATTTAAGCAATTTCATCATTTGAAAGATATAGTTGATAATTGCATGGTTAAATGTAATATTTACAGTTACTGAACACTACAATGGAATATGGTTCTCAAGTGTAAAAATATGCCAAACAGTTTCCATTATCTTAAGAACACTACTTATACTATTAAGAATAAATCAATACTTATTCTTTTAAGCCAAGGTTTAGTTCTATCAACTCCTAATACACATGGAGAGGCAATAATCAAGGACAACTGAACATATAAAAAGAATTAAAAAAGTAAAAACTAAAGAAGAAACACTAGCCTATGAACTTACCTTTAGGTCTTGCCAAGAAGCAGAAGAAGGTAATCCAGTCACCAAAACTGCAAGTAAAAGGGTATTACGGTTAACTTAACACACCGAGCAGTTACTAAACTACAAAGATGGTGTCGAGGGCCATACTTACCACGATAGTCAGAGCGCCTGGAAGGTCCGCGGCTACTGCTGCCACTGTAACTGCTATGGCGATCTGATGATGAAGGCCTTCGCCCACCGTGTGCAAGTTCAACCTAAAAGAGCAAAATAGAATACACATGGTCAGACAGACAAAAAGTACTAAACTGAAAAGAGACTATCACCCAAACATATTAACAAGGCAAGATTAACTACTAACCCGTAAACGATACCCATCAAAGTTATACCCATCTCGAGCACGAATTGCATCTTCAGCATCACGAGGATCCTCAAACTGCAATTTGCCATAGTTAAAATATTGAAACCAGAAAATCGATTTCCTCGTTCATTTGCCTTATAATAGCAAAATATTAAAACTCACCTCAACAAAAGCATAACCAGGGGGCCTTGGTGGGATCTTCAAGTCAATGTCAACAATGGTACCATACTGCAATATACAAACACAGAAAACTAAGCAACCAACCCAAACTAAATAAATAAATAAATAAAATAATAACCCGTGCATTGAACAGTGATTTGGAACCAAAACTGAAACTTTTAGCTAAAATTAAATAATAGAAAGAAATCCTTTTCTTCTTTATCACCCTAAGAATCATACCATATCTCCACTATTCACAAATAAAGCAATAAAAACACTTTGAAGATAATTTTACAGCAACTTTTCCATATACTTATTTATTATATACTGCAGAATAGAAATATAACATAAACTTAAAAAAAGAAAAAAATAAAAAAATTAAAACCTTGTAAAACAAATCTTCGACTTCTCTCATACGAGTATCCCCAGGCAAATTGCCCACATAGAGGGTGCGGCTTGAACGGCTCATTTTCCCTGAAAAAAAATACAACTTGAAAATTAAAAATCATATGAAACAATATATGTCAGCTAAATTTATTGTAAAAACCCTTTTTTTAATCTTAAAAAAATAGATTTTTTTATTAAATCAAGCATCGTTCAATCATTAAACAAATACCCAAAAAAAATTAAAAAAACAAATTTTTATGATAATATAAAACGGCACATGCCTTAATAAACAAACCCCAAATCGAAAAAAAAAACTATTTTTTCTCAAATTCAGTAGTTAAACGCCATAAAATTGAAAAAAAAAACAAAAAAGAAAGAAAAAAAAAGAGTTACCTTTGGGAGGGGATGGAGAGGTTTGAAAGTTTCGTTTCAAAGAGGGATTGGATCAGAGTTTCAGATGATTCTCGAAGGTTACGTATTGGCCTCGTGGCTTTGAACGAGTGATGGAGTTATAAAAGAAACGAGAGAGAGAGAGAGAGAGAAGACAAGGATTTCAATGTCATCGTAATTGGGCTCTTGTTCACGTGTTCGGGTTCGATTTTTCTGCCTTACAGATTCTCAACCGTTGGATTTGAGATGCGGTTTCTTGACGATTTTGCCCCGAATTTTTTCTATTTTTACCCAGAAGGGCCGGGTCCTGGCCCATGGCGGGGTTTATTGGCCCAGGCTTAATTTCCCAGGAAGATAGCCTGAAAAGGACCCCTACATGGGCCTGATGGCCCGTTGGGCTAATTCGGATTTTATGGGAGAGAGGTGGCGGTGGCTCACCCGGCGGTGGACTGCTCACTGGTGGCTGTGGCTGTGGCTGCTGAACCAAGAGAAGAGAACAAAACAGAGTAATTATATTTATAATATACTTATAAAATATATGATTAATAGTGTTTTTTTGTTCGATCGATTGTAATTTTTTAATAATCGAATAGATTGTCCCTCTTATCTGATTAATATCAAAATCGAAAAATCAATCTAAATTAATTGAAATTCAATTTATTTCGATAGATTATTTTATTTTGAATCGATTAATTCTCAAAATATTGAATTAATTAGTAAACTTTAATTATTTAATAATTTTTTTAAAAAATAAAAAAATTACTCAGCAAAAAATAGAGTATTTATATTTGTAATAATATATTATAAGATATCTTTTGAATATAAAAAATTAATCGAAATAATCAGCTAAATTATCATTTTTAACTGATTAATATCGAAAATTTTTAAAAAAATTTGGTCTAAATTATTTGAAATTTAATATATTTCTATTGATATTTTAATTTGAATTATTCAATAAATTTTTATTTTAAAAGAAAAAATTAGGTAATAATTTAACATAAAATCCCATGTGCCAAAATGCCCAAGACAAGTCAATGTTTTCCAACACCGCACGACAGGCTTCCGCCCACAGTTTTTTCGCCAGTCACCAAATTGGCGTTGTCTTCTCTCTCTTTTTTGTATAAAAGGAAAATACTTTCTCACCGCAATACCAAATAATCAAAAGAAGACCGTTCTCTCTTTTCATCTCTGTCTCTGTCTCTCTCTCTCTCTTTCTCTCCTTGAGGCTTTTTTTCTTTCAAATATGGCGGAATCTAAGAGCAAGTTTGAATCCATAAGGGAATGGGTTGTCGATCACAAGCTCAGAACTGTTGGTAATTATTTTCTTTTCCAATTTTTGCTTCTTCTTTTTTGGGAAAAATTGTGGGTTTCATTTGTTAGGATGGATCTTAATTGTTTCTTTTTGGAACAATGAAGGGTGTTTGTGGCTTAGCGGTATTACGGGTTCCATTGCGTACAATTGGTCTCAACCTGGCATGAAAACCAGCGTTAAGATTATTCACGCTAGGTAAATCTTTTATCTTTTGCCATTTAATTTTCCTTTTGTTGCTTTATTTGGGTTATTGAAATTTTGATTCTTTCATGATTTCATGTTCTTGTAATGAATCTTTTGATGGACTCTTGGAGAAGGGTATTAGAAAGTAATGAAATTTTCTCCCTTGCTTGGTTACCGAGAGCTTGAAAAAAGGAAAAATTTTATGAAATTTTAATTTTTCTATTGGGGTGTAGCTCTTGTTTGGCGTGTTTGATAGTTTTATAGGGCTTCTAAGCATTCTTATGTTACTTTCGGTTTTGGGCCGTAAATGGTTTGATTCATTTCTGTTGCATGCAGTTGGTTTCGATTAGATGAGGCAAATTTCTCCACCACCCTGTTTGGTGATGCAAATTATGCTTTGTTTGGGGCTTGTTGATTGTTAGGGGATATGGTTTTGGTATTTAGCGCAGTTTTGGGAACTTTCTGAGGTCTTCCTTTCAGTCAATGGAGTTAGAGTTATGTAAAATGTTATGTCTGAATCCTTTTCAGAAGATTTCTATTATCTGATTAATTGGACAGTGGGAAGAATCAGAAACTGTCTTTCTAAACCATAAAAGAATTTGAATCATTAGAATGATGTGTGGTGGTTATATTTCAAGTGGCCTTTTTTAGGTGATGGTGACAACACATTGTCGTGTGATTTTGCTCCAACTTTACATGATACTATCAATTTGATTGCACATTTCCTGTCCTCACCTCTTAGTCTTAGCCCTAATAAAGGACATGGTGGAAAGGGAGGAGGGGATATGAAGGGGTAACAAAGGTAATATCTCCATCTATGTACATGTGCAAGGTTGACACCTCAGAAAACTGTGCTTTTCTCTTCCTTTGCTATACTTGCGCAAGTTTGACACCTCGTAAAATTGTGCTTTACTCTTCCTTTGCATTATTGTGGTACTTAAGTATTGTGGGCAGCTGTATTTAGTGGCCTGCATTTGTATGCATTGTAAAATTTTATCTATGTATTTCTTCAAATTGCCTTGCATTTTGTCTCAGTGAGCTTGTAATAGCTATCGGTGTTTACAATTTGCTTTATCATGCCTCATTGTTAACTTATCGTCTTTTGCCTTCAATTCAGGTTGCATGCACAAGCCCTTACATTGGCTGCATTAGTTGGTGCTGCAGTGGTTGAATACTATGATCACAGAAACAAACCCAAAGCTGATCAATATGCAAAGTTCATTCCAGTTGATAGCTACTCTCACAAGGAGTAGATGACTCTCTATATGACTCAGATAAATGTTTCTTAGGTCTATAACCTACTCCGGGTTAATAAAAGTTTTTGTTTGAAGAGGCATTATTTTTGCCCCTTCTCATCGCATTCTTTTCAACTGTTTTGGGTTATTTACATATCACATACCTGTGGGGGCTTGTAAGTGGATTGAGATAAAAGCTTGTACCTGAATTTACAGAAAAGAGAGTATTTTTTTCATCACTGATCATTTTGTGTTTGCCGTAAATGGATGGTTGGTTTGATTCTGATTGTGTCACTTGTGTTAGTTCTGGGAAAAATGAACATAGTTGAATGACTTTAAGAGAGGTTCTGCAGCCTTAGGCTGAGGATCTAATAGCTTGTCCTGAATTGCTTTGTGGCTATGTGCCCCAATGCTTCGGATTTTTTGGGTTTGGGTTCATATTGCCACTGTGGAACACAATGGTTAAGGTTCCCTATTTATAGGTCAATTATCCTTTTCTTTTATTATCAACCCCAGCAACAACCAAGGCAATGGCATTCACCTTACTACAAGCAAGAGCAAAGGAATTTTCAAGCATTAGAATTTCTAACAAGGAAATTTGGCTTTCAAACCCATCAAAATTAGTACTAATATTGAACAAATTTTGAGTTTGAACCTCAAATTTATATTAAATTTTGAAAAAGGAATTGAAAAAATAAGTGCTTGACGTCAATAATTGCCTTAATAAAACCTTGGCCGTTGATCACTTTACTTTTTTCACAGCAAACAGTGCACCACTGCCGCATCAGATCATCACTAGCACCAAGACTGTAGACCGAAATTAAGGTCCCAAATTCTGGAATGAGAAATCTCTCACCCCCTTAAAACCCTATCTTTTCTTCTTCTCAAGTCGCCGCCTTTTCTTCGCCGGTAACTCTCTTGCCCTTCCTTAGCAAGATGAGGTTAGCTGCATCTGTTGTTTGATCGTAAATGAAGGAAATTTGGATAGAAAATTTTCCTATTGAAAACACAAAGGAAAATCCATTGGTTAATCAAAGAATTTTACCTTTTTTAATTATTTTAATCAATGAAGCAATTCCTCTAGCTTTCCAAATTTTGACGTAATTCAAGCTGCTGCATTATTTCAGCTACCAAACAGTGTATAACTCAAAGATAGGCTACTTAAATGGTTAAATTTTCATACAACCTGATTGGAAGGGGGACACATCTATCATTGTATGTGATTGGTCAGCAAGAAAATGAGGGAAAAGTGTGAAAACTTACTCTCACCTTTTGTGGTGACAGGACTTACAGTAAATTTTGTTGATTTTATTCTTTACTTCATTGGGTGAATGCCGTGGGATAAATTGAAAATGAGTAGAGGTAGTGCGGCGGGACCCAAGGGGAAGAAGAAGGGAGTTACCTTCACTGTCGATTGCTCGAAGCCGGTGGAGGATAAAATCATGGACATTGCCTCCCTGGGGAAGTTTCTGTAGGAGACGATCAAGGTCGGAGGCAAGGCTGGTGCGCTCGGTGTAACTGTAACTCTCACTCGCCAGAAGAGCAAAATCGTTGTCACTGCTGATGGCGCCTTCTCCAAGAGGTTAAAAAAAAAAAAGAGGATGTTTTATTTTGCATTAAGATGGGATTATATGTTTCTAACTCATATGTGAAACTGTTTAAGGAATGAGGGTCCTTTGCTGTTATTATAAGCTTAAAACAATGGGCACTTGAAACTTTTGAGGAAGATATTTGACTAACCTATTGTACTTATATTTGTTCAAATTGAGATTGGTTTTGTTTTGCTTCTCTTCTGATAGCAATGTTTGCTCCGAGTAATAAACGTTAGTGTTGGCATCTGTAGTTGTGGTTTCTCATCTAACTGGTTTATGGTTCGAGTGTGGCCTCCATTAGTATTCTTACTCACATAAAGAAACTTCCATTCTCTGATTAAGCCAAAATTCCGTTTATGTGGCTAAAATACTGCAGAGTTAGCAAAACACCTTTACACTTTTCAGATGAAATATATTTTAGTTTTAGGTGTAGGGAATTAGCTGAATCTTTTAGTCAGAGTTGGGCTTTGATGTAATTTTGAATGTTGCATTTCAGCGTCATCCATTAGTTCCCTGATTAGCATCATTTGCTTGTAGAGTCTTGAAATGGCAGTTTACTATGTTGTATTGTTCATAGTTTTCGCTACCATTTAGACGCTTGGCATTGTGCTTGAACATATATGATCTCATGTATACTTATTTGCTACATGTTCATTCCCTCGGTTTCTTTCTGCAATTTTGTTCAGGTATCTGAAGTACTTGACCAAAATATTCTTAAAGAAACATAATGTACGGGATTGGCTCCGAGTGATTGCATCCAGCAAAGATCGGGCTGTTTATGAACAAAGGTACTTCAACATTGCTGAGAACGAGGGAGAGGAAGAAGACTCATAGCTGGGATCGACCAGTTGTAACACTAGTTGCTTGGTCATATTTTTTTCATTTTCAGTTTTTGATTGTTTTGAGGCTAAATATGTTGAACAATTGGGCTTACAAACTTATTTTTGAATATGAGATTTTGCAATGCCACTTTTTAAGTATTGGAATATTAAAGAGTGCATCATGGAATGTGGTATATCCAATTGAGCCCATTTTATGTTGTGATTTTGTCATTAATCTTAGAATGGTATCAGTAAGGAGGATTGGAGGCATTCAACTTATGACCATTTGCTAATTCTCTCAGCTTTTTTATTAGCTGATTCCATGGTGATGCTCGCCACGCCTCTAAGTTGCCGTCCTTCGCCTGTTTTCGAAAGCGTCACAGATGTTCATCATCTGGAGCCTAAACTCTACAGTCTGGGTCTGGGCTAGACCATGAGAAAAGGGTTCGAGCTAAGTTGGAGTACTGGCTCTTTGCCAATCCTGTGGAAAGGCTAAAGTTGGAATGGAGTTTATTTTGATGCAAAAGGCTTGAACATTCACGACTTAGTTCCGCTTTCCTAGTCCCATTCTTCCCAACCAATTAATGCAGAGTCAAGGAGTTCTGATCCCACATAATTTGTTCCCGGTCAGGATTTGATTTTCCTCTCGTTCACTTATGTCATAAGCTTAAAACTTTACCTAGGGAAAACTTTTATAGGGATATTCAACGAACATGGCTGTCATTGCAGCATTAATATGTTTTTCTGTTGTTTACTTTTTCTCTTGGTAGAACATTTTTAAGACAATAGAGGGATCTAAACCATGGGATGGGGTGAAGCAAGGAAGCAAATTCCTACCAAAGATAGGGAATCATATCTACCTAGGGAGTCTCCCTGTTGTCTTCAAAACCCAACACTCACTTCTTTGAGAGAAAAAAAATGAAAACAAAATACCCTTTTTTCTCTGTCTACCATTTAATCAAAAACTCGGGTCCAACACGCAACCCCAACGTGCAATTTCTTTCACTGGTCTCTCTGCCCTGTGCCTGCTTGCTGCATCATGCTCACCACCATCCAGTCTTTGCCATGCCAAAAGCCAAGGTCTCTTCCCCCCTTTTTTACCACCATTCAATCTTTCATTCATAGCCATCAATCCTTTTGGTCAAATGTCAAGTTCCCCAGCGTTCGATATATTTGAAAATATTTTTGAGAATCTAAGATTAGCCCCTGCATCAGATGCACCCACATATTTTTACTTGAGTGACAAGGCAAAAACCAGCTTTGGGAGAAACTTCACTACCCAAAGTTCAAATCCATGACGACAAATATAATAACAGCCCTAATAATAGTTGGAAAAAAGGGTTACTTTAATTTGAAACACGTCAAGTATCTGAAATGATTTAATGCCAAACAGGATGGCAGTAAAGAAAAACAAAGGACAGTCGCTCTTCCATTGTCTCCACCGCAACGCCAAAAAGCAGGAATTAGACTCGAGTTGACAGGAGTTAGATAAGGACAACGACTTTGATTTTGTTTTTTAAGTAAAGATTTGAGCTCGAGTTTAAGGCTAACAAGTTAAGGTACTGCTAAGGGAAACAAGAATTTTAAAGTTTCAATACAGATTTGTGATGACATGATGAGCCAAATTTGGATGAAAAAAAGAATTGGGTTTTGCTCGATTTTGGCGGCAGGAAGCATCCCCCACAAGACTGACCCAATTCATTACGTAATAGGGGGTAATATCTCAAACCCGCTAATCAAAACCGGTGAGAATAAGATTCACTGGAGGCTGTGTCAAATTTAAGGTCATATCTGTTAAGGGTGATACCATCAATTCTGGACCATTTTTCTAAAGGGCAAAAAAAATCCCGCTTTCATCACGTTGCAGTTGCATGTCACGTGCAAGGAGGATGGTGGGAACCCACAGCTTTGATTCTCACTGATAGGGCGAGTGCTGGTCTTGTTTCTGACCAGGGAGAGTGATGCTGCAATGTTAATTAATTTGAAGGGGGTTGTTTTTGCATCTTGAAATTCATTAAGGATGGTGGTGGGGGGGGGGGGGGGGCATGGCCTTTGCTACAAAGCAACAGATACCTGAAAACTTTAATTGGAGAGGTTGTCTTTAAAGAATGTCCACTTCTAGACTCAATCTCAATAAATCTTTTTCACCTCTTCTCTCTCTCTCTCTCCCCTGCAAAACTTGTAGTATATAAATGCATGAGAGTTCCTTGCTGTCCCAACTCACTCAGGTAAAATTTTCTTCTATGGTTATTGTCATGGTGGGTGAGTAGCTCTTGCTGGAGAAGCAGGGCACGTGCAAGGCCTGGTTTAGCTATCTCGAGTTTAACATGTTCCCCAGTGAACTTTGCACGTGCTCCCCTTCTCCACCATGAGTTCCTCACCTTTTTCTCTCATCTCTCTCATTGGTGGTTGCAATGCACCTCACCTGATATCAGAAGGTAAATGATAAGCTCCAGTTTTGCTATATTTCACTTCCCATAATGAATTCTTGTTGTTTTGGCATTTGTTAGCCTATCTCTAGAAATCAAAGGTTCATGAAAACACTGGCCAAGATGATTCATCACTTTCAATTTATGATATAGTATGTATGTGAGTGTGTGTGTATGTATATATATGTCAGATGTTATAGTTCTTGTTAGGTTTTCTTTCCAGTTTGCACTATGGCAATAAGCATTTTTCCATCATGAATTTGCATGGAAGACCAGCTCTGTCACATGCCAAACTGTTGCAATTATATAAGCATGGGCTGTTTATGAGATAAGGAGTACGCTTTCTTACATCCAGACAGTAGCCTGAGAACCAGAAATGTTAATTAGCTTCACAGTGGCCAAACTGCTACAGGCAAGCAGACGAGGTTTTGTCTCAGACAGAAGAGAAAAATGGTGAGAAATGGGACACCAAAGGTGCTAGAAACCTTGGTTCCTTTTTAACCATTCATCATCGATGAATATGTATACACCAATGAAAGAGGGTAGGAGTAGTAAATTTTTCTTCTTTTTTTTTCTTCTATTTTGGGTTTGCAGTATTTGATCCAAGTTTGTACACTAGCAAGAAGAAGAAAAGAGATGAATCCTTCACAGAGAAAAACAAAAGGCAAGTGCTTATTTGAAGAAGTAATGACTCCCTGTGCTTGACCAATGCAACGTGATGCATAGAAAATGTACTTTCCATTGTTGACTTGTGCCTCTCATCTCTCTCTCTCTCTCTCTCTCTCTCTCTCTCTCTCTCTGTGACCCTGTATCTCTATTACCTGGGTGAGTGTACGGAGAATATTGAAGCTGAAGCAAAAGAAACACACGCTTGGAAACTGTCCCATTTGTCACAGAAAGGAAGCAAAGATGGCGTAAGAGTTTATATAAATGGCAGTCAAAAAAGAGATTGGTTTTGTAAGCAAAGTGGCAGTGCCTTCCACTTTGCCTTAAAAACTGGGGGTTTCCTGCTTAATTTACCACACCCCAAGGTTCTTTTTTCTTTCTTAACTTATTCTCCAAAAAAACGAAATGGGGTTTAATTAAGGGGAGGAAGCTTAATTTGATAGGGCATTTAGGTGTTGGAAATTGAAACCAGATAAGGAGGGAGACAGTAAATGCAGATTGATCAGAACCTTAAAATGCAAGCAATGGTGCAAAAGATTGACACAGTGAGAGAGAGAGAGAGAGAGAGGAATATGCACACGCAATGCACAAATTTCTAGGCTTGGTGAAAACCCCACTATTTAGACAATGATTTTGTCACTTGCTATATATATATATGCATGCTTGAAGTCTGGCTTTGGTCCACCTGGAAGGATAACCATGGAAGATACAGAGACAAGTTCTGAAATTAAAAAGCTTATAAAGCATGGTTCCATCATATTTCTTTTCTCTTCACTCGAAACTTGATCTGATGCTGAAGGAAGTGAAAAGGACCATTAGAAAATGAGAGAAGAGGGGGAGACAAACGTTTAATTAGTTCCTGTGTTTTCCCTTTGCATGAATGCTCATGCAAGTTGCTTGGTACAACGGAAAAGTTGCTTGTATTTATTCTTTCTTACATAGTTTGCAGCATCAGATAGAACCCATACAGGTCTTGCCTGCAGAAAAATATCCCCATCGGTTTTCCTTGATTAATACCACTCAGGTTCACTTTGGGATCTGGACATTAACTTCAAGGATGCCATTGCAAAAGGTTTTCCTGGGGGATGTACTTCCTCTTCAGTCTTCATCAACCACACATTTCAGAAAGCTTAATTGCTATGCTACTTAGCCATCGTGAAGCAAAAGGAAGGGTGAGCAAAGGGGATAGAGTCCCAATATGTATGTATATATAATTAAACAAATCTAATATAAGGTTAGACCAAACTTAGACAGTTAAACTGATAAATATTAATGAATGAGTATATAATACATATATATATATATATATGTTTTAACCCTCCCCCAATTATAAAATATGTATATTAAAATTTTAATTTATATTCGAGTATTTTTGGTCCTTTAATTTGTACAAAATTCCCGATCCAAAAGTAGAATTCGATTTTTCCTTTTTTAAATTAAAAAAATATTTTTTTATTTTTAAAAACTAAAAAATATAAATATTCGGACATGTCCCTTGTTAAAGTATGCCATGGGCCTCACCAAGCCCACATATGTCTGTCAGTAAAACTCACTTTTGCCCACGATGAGTTCAAAACGGCTTGCGTTTTGACCAGAACAGGGAGACCGACAATCATTGTTCCTCTGCTCCCGAACTCAACCCCAGAGACTGCACCACCGCCAAATCCAGGTCAGCTTTATATAAACCCCGAAACTATGTTTTTGGATATACGTAATTTTGGTTTTAAGTTTCTGGGTCATGTTCCGATTATCGTTCGATTTCATAAAAAACAAGGCATTGAAGTTGATAGAGAACATGTTCGATGAAATGCTTGTGAGAGAAACCAATTAAGTTGTAGTATAAGTTTAAGGAATCTTTCTAAGCCCTTCGTTGTAAAAATCTTGTCCTCCAAGTCGTACCGTTTGTTTAAGGTAGTTGGGTTCTTAATCTTTTGCTTGAAACAGGACTGATTTGGTTTTGCTGGGTGTAGGAATAGTTGGAGTCAATTCTATCAATAAGGTGTTAAATTGAATATGAATGACTATGAAGTTCTAATGTAATACTATGTTCTTCAGAAGTTTGTTTCTTATTTGTACTAAGTCACTAAATCGTTTAAATAATCTTTATATATGTATATATATTTTGATTGCTGGAAACATGGGCAAGGATGTATCACTTTGTAGCATATTTGATGCTAAGAAGTTCACTGGGCCAAACTTCTTGGATTGGAATAGAAATTTGAGAATCGTTCTGGAAGCAAAGACAAAGTCGTGTGCCTTTAAGAAAGCTTTGACAGAAGTTCCTGCTGAGTTCACTGGGCCAAACTTCTTCGATTAACATAGAAATTTGAGAATTGTTCTCAAATCCAAGGAAAAGTTGTATGACTTTAAGAAAGCTTTGCCGGAATTCCTTGCTGAGATCACTGAGCGAAACTTCTTGGATTGGCATAGAAATTTTAGAATCGTTCTCAAATCTAAGAAAAAGTCTTCGTCAGAAGTCCCTGCTGAGGATGCTGAGGGTTTTGCAATTCATTTCTCAAAACTCAAAGGATTTGCTTTTCAATTTAGTAAAATATTTGGTATAATGTTACTCTTTCTAAAATCAGATTTCATACATATGACTACTGAGCTTTTCTTTTCTCTGTAATTTGAGATACTTTTCTTTACTATTTTGATAATTTATAATCACATTTTCTGTGGCATTTTCTCCTTAAAATGATCAAGACGTTGTTGTTTGAGTTGATCTAATCTTTTCTTTGTGGACAGAGATGGTTATCCCTCCACCTGTTAGGCCGCCAAGAATTACGAAATTTCTAAAGCCGTATGTCCTGAAGATGCATTTCACAAACAAGTATGTTAGTGCCCAAGTAATCCATTCTCCAACTGCAACCGTAGCTTCTTCAGCAAGCTCACAGGAGAAGGCCCTCAGGGCAAGCATGGAATCTACTCGGGATGTGGCAGCTGCTGCCAAGATCGGGAAGCTACTTGGGGAACGGTTACTGCTCAAAGAGATACCTGCTGTTTCTGTTTTCTTGAAGCGAGAACAGAAGTATCATGGTAAGGTGAAGGCTGTCATTGATTCTCTCAGGGAAGCAGGTGTCAAATTGCTTTAAACTAGATTAAAAAAAAATCGAAAAATGCATTTAGCTTGCTCATCCCATGCTTCTTTACTGATTCATCTATGTTCCTGAATGATAACTTGGCTAGACCCAAAAATGAAATGCATTGTTGGTTCTGTTCTATGAATGGTGTTCTCTTTTAGTTGCAATCTTTTTATGTTATTATCTTACTACCATTCATAATTCCCATTGGTGAACTGATTTCTTTTGCAAAACCCAATTATAATTGGAGGCCCAGTTCTTCTGAATTTCCAAAGTTTTTAGTCCAATTGTTTCCTCAGCCACAACATGAATAAGACTTGGTCAAGTCCTAACCTTTTTATTCTTTCTTTATCCTTTATTTTTGAGTCTTTATTTTTTCATAGTCATAAATATAATGTAATTCAAATAATCTAAAGCAAAGTGGAAACAGGTTTAGAACTTTAAATCGTGAAGTAGACATATAGTTACGTTTTGTCTTGTTGGGTTGACTTATTGGGTCTGTTCATTGAACCAAAATAAAAAAATAAAAAAAAATCCATACCTGTTTAGTAATTGTTCAAATCTCAATAATTTGTTGATATACTATTTTAAGTCATGTAGGTAAATGAATGATTGACTTTCAATAAACAGAGCAAAAGTCTTTAACACTAATCTTACCTTAATCTAAACCACTTGAATTTAAAGTAAACTTGATAATTTGTATTGTCGCGTTTTAATCGTATTTTATCTAAGTATGATATTAATAGTTATATGAGTGAAAATAGATACGACATCTTAAAGGGATCAAGATTTTAAGTACGATATTAATAGTTATATGAGTAAATATAGATATGACACCCTAAAAGAATCAAGATTCTAAATAGGCATGTGAATACGTTTGTTATACGATATGATACAATTAACAATTGATTAAATAAGTTGAATTAAATTTTGTATAACATAACTCAATTGTAATTCATCAAACTAATTTGGCTAATACAATTTGCCTATTTAAAGGGGTATCATAAAAAGGTTAAATAGATGTTAACAATTATATAAATAAATACGAGTATAATATAATTAATTGAATACATTAAGTTTCTAAATAGATGCGTGAATACATTTATTAAACATGTTACACGATATAATATGATTAACAATTATTAAACAAGTTGAGTTAAAATGTACGACATGATACGATTATTCTGTGATTAACTCATCTAAACGTAATTAGCATGATTTACCTATTTAAAAAAGTATCATAAACAAGTTAAATAAATTATATTCTAAGAATAGACATGATATGACAATTATTTAAATAAGTTTATCGTGTTATATGCGAATTAAGCAAATTTAATCAATTTAAGACACATAATATGATAATTTTAAATTCAAATTTACTTAATTTCGTAACGTATTAATGGGTTATGTCTAAATCGTCGGATCTAATTTAAAAGTAAATAAAAGTAAAGTTGAAAGTTGAGTAAAGGTTAAGGTTTTGGTGGATAGGAAAAGGATTTTGACTTTAAATCGTTGGGAGGAAGACAAGAGGAAGTAATCAAAAGAAAACCAACTCGGCAACCTCATTTTAATAATGTGATTAAGTTAAAAGTCACCATAATTTCCCCATCAAAGTTTCTTAATCAAATGATTTGGGCCATTGCTCTCTTTTAAAGCAGTCCAATAGAAGCAGTTTAGTGTGACTAATCACTATGTTAATTATTCATGATTAATATAACAAGAGCGGATTAATTATTGTCTCAAGATTCTACTACTATCTCGTGATAAATACAACAATATATCACAAAGGCGGCTGAGAATCCAGTTAGGTCACCCTCGTAATTTCCTCCAAAAACCCTGACTGTTTACGATCTAGCTGGATAAAGTAAGGGGTATTTTCGTTCTTTCGGCCATTGCTAAAAGATGACCCGGTCACGTGACAGGCCCTGACTCCTAAGATCTCCGAGTTTTTTGGTCCCACCTGTCACACCGATCTTATCCTCAACCACGTGCTCCTCGATCCGTTTGCCACGTAACTACTTTTTTCTTAGATCCAAGTCGACGGTCCGGATTTGTGATAACTTATTCGACCTTTAACCCCGTCCCCGCCTCATTTTGGTCGTTAAATATCTCCGTCACTCCTCTCGCAATGTTCTCTATCCTGGCTATCGAGTTTCTTTAAATAAGAAGGATCATCAGATACGCCGGATCTGCTAAAATACGCCGATCTCCTGCTTAGCTTCCGACCATATGGGGCTACTTGACCAGTTGTGGGACGACACCGTTGCGGGTCCCCGACCCGATAACGGCCTCGGCAAGCTCCGAAAGCACTCCACTTTCACTTTCCGGCCTAACTCCGCCAAGGGTACGCCTTAGGCCCTCCCCTCTCTTCCCCAACCTCTTGCTATCTGTCGTCGGTGGCGGCGTGGTGCCCTTTAGCCATATATAAACGACAAATGTCTCACTAAAAGTAATCGAAATAGTCACCAAAAGTAATTGAAAGTTGTAAATAGAACTGGCGAGCAGCTACTAATAAAGCGAGAATTGTTATGAAATGAAATTTTATTATTTTGATCAGACGTTTACGATTTTATTTACAATTTCTCGTGATTATTTTTAAAAGTTTTGGTTTGGTGATCTAATGATCAGAAACTGATGGTGGGAGTGTGAGATCGTACGGTGATGAAACGTCGGAGGAAGCGACGAGAGTGACACGTACTATTATGATAGTAAAACCGCCGGGTTATCAGAATGGATCGCCTCCTGTTTCGCCCGCCGGGTCGACTCCTCCGGTATCTCCTTTTTCCGGTAATAATATATCCTATTTCCTTACTTGTTTTTTCCTCTGAATGCCGAATTTGTCCCTGCTTTAATTCCTTAAATCCCAAAATATCGTCTCCCGGAAAGGTGGAGTATTGTGTCTAGAAACATCTCCATAAGTGGACTATTGAAGGGTAGTTCCGTCAACATATATTTTTTCTGATAAGTGGACTTTTGGAGGGTATTTATGTCATTTAACGTTTTTGTATGTTTCCTACATGGATAATGATAATGCAATGTTAGGTGGATGCAAGGGTGTTTTTGTCCGAGAGTTAGGAGGTTGACAATTTTGTCCTCGTTGACGTACAATCATGCATGAATACAACAAGCTTAGAGAAATATAAACATCTGCCCTAGTTTGGTCCATCTAGGTTGTTTTGCTTTGTTAAATTCATCAATAATTTATGGTGTCTTTTATGGCGGTCTAATTCTATTAATGTTTTGGGGTCCTCTGTTTGTGGGATATATCGTCACGAGTATCCCCACGCCTTTGCATATATATATATATATATATATGTATGTATAAGAAAATGTAAACCATAGTTATCACGTAAGGTTTTATTTTGCATAGCGAATATGTCATCCATTTAGGTTTTTGTTTCGTAGAATTTAACTATATATATATATATATTGATGTAAATCAGAGCTATCACGCAAGATCTTATTTTGTGTAACAAATATGTCATCAAACTTGGCACATTTTAGTTGATGTAAATGTCATTGTTGTACAATTGCTAAAGTCTTGGATGCATATGGCCTAAATTTAGTGAATTGTCCGAATTTGGTTTTTCATGCATTTAAGGTTGAAAATTACACTGGTTAGGATTGAACATAAGTTATATAAATGATCTTAATTACCATTCCGTAATTGAATTTAGTTTAGTATTATTTTGTATAAGTTTGAATATGATTAGTTGGCTTAAAGTTTAGTAAGTTGTTAACGTGGATGATGTTGTTTAGGAGGCAGAGAATCGTTCCGATTTCGGAGAAAGTCCACATCGGATGCATACGAGAAGGCCAGCGAGGTTGGACCAAGGAGCCCTCATCCTCCTTACGACTTGTGAGATATGAGCCATCTCCCCGTCTTATTCGGCGACAAAGCAATGCTTCTATCCATGTTTGCAGCTTTAAAGTTAATGTTATGTCAAGCTAGGTTTGGTACTGTTTTTGAGCAGTTCGTTGGATGTGTAAACTATTGTCAAATGGGTCACGGGGTTGGAAAAAAAGGCTGTAACTATGTAGAGATGGTAATGTAGTTTGCTACCTTTTGTATATATTGAGCTTGTCTCGTTTTCCCCTCCGCAGTTTGTTTGTTTCTCTGGAAAAACCTTGTTGGAATAAGATTTCAGTGTCGTTTTCCCCTGTTATTGATCGTCCAAGCTGTGTGTGCTTTCTCGATTTCTGTTTCTATGGAGCCAGGATGGTGGTGGGCTTTTGATGTTGGATCGGATGAGGATCTTTCTGTTTGCAAAAGGTAGAACAGGGTAAGCCGTGGGTGGTGGCTGTCGTGGGGTTAGCAACAAAATGTGTAGGAAATCTGTCCTTTGTTGATCACTTGGGTTTTTAGTGATCAGGGAGGTCAGGATCGATGCAAGTGTTTCTCCGTATTTGTGGGCTTATAGCCAAAATCTTTGCACGATAATCGAGTATTTACGTTATCGAGAATTTACATTATCTGATTTAGTAAGTAAAATTAAAATATTTTATAATTGAGTTTTGATAAAATTTTAATAATAAAATAATTATTTTTTAATAAGATTTTAATGCTAATTAAAAATTTTTCACAAGTTCGGATAAGATCATGACAATGATTGAAAATTACGGACATTCTCTTGGTTTTAAAGAATTAAAGACAATCTTTGCATCTGGTAGAATTTTCTTTGGTTGAACTTGAACCACTTGTGATTTCATATTTCTTAAGATAACATTTTGTTCTTAAATGATTGTTTTCATTTATTTTTTTATAGAAATTAAAATAAAAAGTTTTGAATTGAGGGTGATGATATATAAATTAAGTAATAGTAAGAATTAAAGAAGTTGATATTGCTTAGGGATGACGATGATGATATATAAATGTGCATCTTATATTATCTGATTCGTTTTTATAGAATTAAGGTAGATAATATATATAGACATAAACTCGATACTAGAGTATTTTACAGGACAAAGATAGCATTTTTAATTCCCTAAGGCCCACGTATGTTCTAAACCCATTTAAACGGGCTTGTATGTTCTGCATGTGGGACACAAGCCCACGATGATTTCTCGGGTCGAATGTGCATACTTGGGTAAACGAATACCCGAAAACCCAAGACGACTCAGAGACTGGTTGACGCACACGTGTGGATTGACGTTGTTTCAGGTCTCTGTTGATCTGTTCGATTGTTCTTGTTGTTTTTAACTCTTGGAGCACTGCAATGTACTAACAAGGTTCCCCGCTTGGATTCTGGGTCTTCTCAATGATTCAGAGCTCAAAAATCAGGGAAGAAGTAAGAGCAATGAAGGATATGGAACTCGGATTTCTAATATTTCTTCTGCTTTTCAACCTGCTACTCCCCTTTTCGTCTGGTAAAAAGAAAAACGAAATCTTTTCCTTTTCTTGTTTTCTTAGGGCGCTTTGGCTGCAAATTTTGACTTGGGTTTCTCTCTTTTGTTGATATTGGTGTGGGTTTTATTTCAAGTTGGAGATTAGGCATTGGTTATCTATGTTGCAAAGCTTTACGATTTGAATTGCTGGTTTTCTGATTGAAGGAGATTGCTTTGGCCTCAATCAATTGAACTACGATGTTAAGAAGTTCTTTGTTGATTCATTTGTTTGTTATTTTTGCTTTAAATTGAGTGAGATTTTGTTGAAGATGGAGAATATTTGCTTTTTGTGGTAGCTAGATATTTTGGTGATGTTAAGCTTCGAAGTTAGCTGCTTTACACACGTGTTAGATTACTATTTATGTAGATATTGCTCTGTCCTCTCAATTTGCTGAGATCCTAGGTGAGATAAGGTCCCCATGTCTAAATAGAACAATCACAATTCTAGTTGTAAATTTTGCTATCAAATCTGCAGCATTTAAGTTCATTCATTTTTGTATCTATGCAGGACATACTGATGGTGTGTGCGTATCTCAAGGTGGTCGTTTTCCACCCTTCTCCTCTGAAGGGAAGCCTCCAAAAAGGGTCGGCAAGGGACACCAGGATTTGACACTTTGTAGGGTGTTTCGGAAAATGACTTGCTGTGATGCTGCCCAGACACATCCTGCTTTGCTTTCTACTAGGAAGCTGGCTTTAACAGGAGAAGCGAGCCCAAAATGCTTGCAATTGTGGGAATTGTTGGAATGTTCCATCTGTGATCCACGTGTTGGTGTTCGGCCTGGACCCCCACTTATATGTACCTCCTTCTGTGACAGAGTATTTCAGGCTTGCTCTAATGCTTACTTCTCGATGGATGCGAAGACACAGGTACACAAGTGTGTCTAATTTCTTCTAGATTGTAAGTTTCAGGCGAAGGTCATGCATATAATGGGTTGGGTTGGGTTAGGTTGGCTGGGAGGGGGTGGGGGTTGAGATTGTTGCATGTTGATCCAGTTTTAGAGATCCTCTACAGAGCCGTCAGCTCTTAGGTTATGTTGGATGATCTTTTCTTTTTCCAGCTTTCATTTTAAATTGTTCTTATTGGTGGCTACGATGGTTATCATGATGGTGCTTCCCATCATCTAATGAGGTGTATGATCTTCTCAGTTGTGCCAATGAATCAATGCATTTGAGCCTTGGAGCTTTATTTTATTTTGCTCTGTGTCCTGCTGTTTTAGTATCTTCTAGGTGAGGTGTTTCCATAGGTTCAATTCAAGCATAGTAAATTTTTGTCAGGTTCTAGCACCATGTGGAGTCAATGACTTTGTTTGTGGTAGAGCTTCGGAATGGACATCCAATGGCACAGAACTATGTCGTGCTGCAGGTTTTGCTGTTAAACAGTCTGATGTAGTGAATGGTGGTGTTGAAGAAACATCTTGTTATGGTGGCAAAGCCAGTCTTGATTCAATTGCTGATTCATGGGGAGCTTCACAATCTGAGAAGCCCCACAAAACTGGGAACTTTGGGCTCTTAGAAGATTTCCAGCAGTGGCTGCATGATATGCCATCTAGTGAAAGAGTTTCTTGGGCAGTGGGAGGCATGGTTCTTACAGCAGGCCTACTGTTTATAAGGTTCAGTAACGTCCTTGCGAAACATTAAGTTTTCTGCATGACATGTGATTTAGTTTCTAAAATTTTATTTAGTTTCATTTAGTACATCCTCTCCTCATCAAAAGAAGATTAGGTTCATTACTCAGCAGATTAGACATTTTTTACTTCTCGGACTGTATCCTCTCCTCATGGAAGGATGACTACATTTGTAAAAGTATTGCACTGCTAAGTGGACTCCACCAAGCCAGTGTAATTAAGGTGTTTATACCATGTGAAATGTGATGAGGCATTGTCTAGTTCTTTGGTTTAGTTTTGTCATTATTATTTTGTTACTGTTTTGAACTTAAGCAATACTTAATTTCCGACTGTGCAGCAAAAGAAAGAGCTATAGTCAACGCCAAAAGCATGCAGCTATTCAACGGACTGCAAGGAGACTAGATGGCAAGATGAACCAGACGTCCCCTTCTAATCAGGGAAATAGGAAAGGAAGTCGAAGATGAACATCTCTTTCAATCTTGCAATTAACTATTGGAATTTGTAAGAATTTGGGATTTATATTCTTTGATGTTTTCATTTTCCACCATTGAGTTCTTGTTTTTAACATACTCCTTTTTGTAATTTGTGCAGGATGTTAACTCTGGTATCTATGGAGTTCACGACTTCTCCACCAAGGGCTAGACTGATCAAGATTTCAAGATGCTTGTTTTGGTTGAATGAGAAATTAAGTGAATCCTCCAGTTGTACAAGAACAAATCATTTTGATAATGGCTGACATAATTATGAGTTAGTAAGAAATTTATAGAAGATGAAGAAAGCTATTTTCTGCTTACTCCTTGAAAGAGGATGTCAGAGAACAAGCAGATTCCTGTTTGTTACGCATTTGAATATCCTAGTTCTGCACTTCCATTGTGAAATTGTAGCGAAGATAAAAGTTCGTTGTAGTCTTTTCTGGTCTGAAAAGTTACTTCAAATGTTTTTTCTGAGTTTGGAATCCTCTTTTGTTATTTACTTGGATGATATTGTTAATCCTCTTTTGAATGTCCGTTATGATGCTTAAATATTAATGATTGTGTGATACAAGGAACTGCTTGGGGAGACAATAAGAGGACGCAAGCTGTGGACAAGAATGAAAGCCAACCAACTTTCAAGCTCAGTCTCTATCAACGTTTAAGCAGGTTTTCCTGGATGGTGGTTAGTAAATGTCCCCTGCCACGTATGATACTGTCTTTTGCTCTCTTCTGCTTCTCCACCTGTCCTGTCCAGCTGTCCTGTTGATAAAATAAATGAGAAAAGAAAACATCTGCTTCCATGGGTCACGTTTGTGGTAGGAGAGGAGGCTGCTAGGTGGAGCTACACCCTTGCACGTCCATCTCATGTTGTTATTGGCGACAGGGATGTATATTTCCATCATGGAAGATTTTTCTGCAGGCTGATTACCGTAAATCTTCCTTCTATTCCCCCTCCGGAATGGAGATATTCTTTCATTAAGAGCCATTTTTTAATTTGCTAATGCTTGCTCTAACATTTGCAGTGGAAGTGATATGTAAAAGATTAATTTATTAAATTGAGCAACATGTAGGTTTATAAGTTCAAAACTTTTCCTTTTTTATTTGACTAATGAAAGATTTCGTAACATTCTCTTTCATTGGAATCCATAATGCTCTTGTTATTTTTGACATGACATTAGAATTGAATTCGAGTTGGTTTTAAACCAACTTATTGAAGTGTGTAACATTCACATTTATAAATTCAGGAAATTCAGGATCTCTCTCTTATTCGATATAAGATTCTGTAACCCTAACAACATGCACAGTGCTCATTTTGAATTAGCAATTCATTCATTTAGGAAGTTCACTTCTGAAACAGAAAATTATGTATCATCCAATCTTCCTAGGCTAATCAGAAATGGAGGCTGATGTACAAATATATCCAACGCAAATTAAGGCAGATCCAACCCCACTCACAGATAGCACACTGATAGTGAGTAGCCAGAGCACAAACGAGACAAAAATGTGTCCAATGCAAAAAAAAAAAAAAAGGTTACTGCACAGAAGAGAAAAATGGTTGGTTGATTTACAGACTTTCTGATAATTTCCTTGCAATCAAATAACCAGCAAGCATCAATCTCATGGAGGGTTCCTTGTAAAACGCCCATCCGTGTATGAGATGATCAAAGCTTTTGATCAGAATGACGGATTCCCGGAAAGCCCTTCTTCACTGGCAGATCAAATCTTCCCAATCTTTGAGGGCTGTTGATAACAAAGACACAACCGAGGAGGGGATCATATTCCAGGCAAATATTTGAAATGTTTTCTGCAAAACCAGATATATGATACAATTGCCTGGCTGTACATACCTTCTTCAGGGGCAACTTGTTAGAACTGCTTGGTGATGCTTTATTATCAGCTGGTTTCAATATCTCAAAGGAGCACACAAGAGATTCATCAACACTCAACAGAGCACCAGCATTGTCAAACTCCCCGCCATAGTTTGGAGCTGAAAATATTGTTACCAATCTTCGTTTTGCAAAAAACTCATAGCCATCCTCCACAACCTGCGAATTAGAACTTGGAAAATCTCAATCCAGACAAATTGGATGAAGCAATTAGTATAATTCTTGGTGATACTGTAAAGGCTAGTCCACACTCAATTGCTGGTTGTGGGTCGTTAATGGTCATCAAAATGCATGCTATCATCTAGCCTTTTCCAATAACTGTTTTGAAGTAATCTCAAATTACACAACAAGCCTGCAAATCCATAGAATTAGAACAAGAAAATCAAGATATGTTAAGGCAATACCATTCTTAAGCACTTTTATGTTGATTGCATTTCTATGCAAACAGAGACAAGAGATGCTTACTGCCAACTAGATGGGTGTTTTTGGACATTCTTCAGGCAAGGTCTAAACTAAACTGGTTAGTATCCTAAAGGGGAAGAAGGTAATAAACGCTGTATTGCATATGCAAAACTACAACCATACATTCATAATCATTGTTCATCTTAGCTCAAACTAAACTGGCTTACCTGATGACCTCGGCAAATGAGATCAAGGTCATTCTTATCTAAAAATTCAGCAACTATATCAGCTCCAAAAGTACATGAAACTCCTCGATCACTATCTGCCCAGCCCTCAACCTTGGGGTCAGGATCAGACCAAAGTAGATCGCAGAGAAGACCATTATCAGGAACTTCTGTTGGCCTTTGAATTTCCTTTATTTGATCCAAATTTTCCAACTCCGGGGACAACCCTCCATGCATGCAAAGTATCTTGTCATCAATGAGTGCAGCCACCGGCAAGCTATTGAAGCAGTCTGTGAATATTTTCCAAAGCCTAACGTTAAATCTCCTTTTACACTCATCATAAAACCCGTAAATCCGGTTGATCTTTGCATCTTCATGGTTTCCCCTTAAGAGGTAAATTCTGTCAGGATATCTGATTTTATAGGCCAAAAGCAAACATATTGTCTCCAAACTTTGCTTGCCTCGATCTACATAATCCCCCAGGAACAGGTAGTTTGCAGAAGGAGGGTAGCCACCATATTCAAAGAGCCTCAGAAGATCTTGGTATTGTCCATGTATATCACCTGGTTATAACAAGCCATATCCAATTCATTAAATGAACCAGGCATACAAATTATCTCAAATTTATCTCCCCCACACATAGGAATTGTTCTGCAATTTCCCACAAATAATACAATTTACATGAGATACCAAAATCAGTTCCAAATTTGGCTCCAAAAATTGATGCCATCTAAATCTTACCAAGGAAAACCATCAAATCATTAATTACCAACAACCGCAACCACAACCACAAAACAACGAGCTTGAGATTCATAATTCAATAGAAAAGAAAGAGAGAGAGAGAGAGGAAGAAAGCTGACCACAGATTCTGATGGGAGCACGAATCTGAAGCAGATTAGGCTGTGAAAGGAAGACTTGACGAGCATTAACACAAAGCTGACGGATCTCTCCTTCAGAAAGCTGCACCTGCTGCCTCCTCTACCGTCCAACAACCTTCTTATTATATCATCCAATACTCCCTTATCCATCATTCCTTCCATCGTCATCATCATCATTTTCTGCTTCAAATTCACCACCAAAAATTCCTTGCAAAATACAGATAATCCAACTGAATTCTGTTTAACTTTTTTTTCTTTTTTTATTGAGAGAAAACAAATAAGAAACCAGAAAAAAATGGGTATAAAGAAAGAGATAGAAATAAATCAAAAAGACTTAAAACTATTCAGATAGAGAGAGAAAAAGGGTGTTGTTTCTAATGAGAAAAAAATGAATCAAAAAAGCCAAACTTTTCACATGAAGAGAGAGAGAGAGAGATTAATAAGGTCAACAAAAAGACCCCATAAAAAAGTGGAAATTTATATAAAATAGAGTAAAAAGCATAACAAGTACCCACCTTTACAAAATAAAGAAGAGAGAAATATTTAGAGTAATACAGCGATGTTGGTTGTCATTTTCTTCGTGAATCTTTTGTTTCTATATCTATCTATATCTATATATGTATGTATGTATATTTATACTTGTAAAATTATTAGTTTTGATCTCTCTGAAGCTTTTTTATCTAGCCCAACTGCCAAGAAAAGATTCAACATGACCCATTAGTTGAAACCTTCAAAGGTAAGGCACGGAGAGCAGAGCAGCGCAAGTTAGCAGATGATTAAAAACAAATACTTAACAAAAATTGGATACCGTCTAAGATTCAAGCGCTGATTGGTATAAAACCGCGTTTCTTTGAAAAGTTCGTTTATTTAGTTTATATACGTGTAGAGATTCTTTTCATGGGGGTCCATTTTCCATATTAGTATTTTTTTTTGGGTTTTTGGGATTCTTTTATTACAGCTGACCAACCCAGGGAACCCACTTGGGCGTTGGTAGCCAATGGCATTATGCCATCTCAACAGAAATGGAAATGGCTCCAACCATGCTGTTGTCATAATAATTCTTCATAATCTTCATAAGTGGATTAGGTGTGATAGAGCTACTGAAAATATGTTCTTTGGGAGCCAATTGGCAGTCATTTGGTAGTTCTGCAGATGAAATGCTCAACCATCTGCTTCACCAGTGGATTTGAAGCTCAGCCAGAAGAGCAAAAGATTGCAGAGAAGTTTGCTTATCACTCTGTTAACTCCTTCTGGGCAACCAGGATATAGTTAGACATTTGGGTTTGAATTGATGAAAGGTAGCAGCATTGAAACGGCGGGTGTGTCTAGAATGTTACGAGATGCATAGTCAGAAAGGTTGCAGAAACTGATACTGAGGTCAATTTTATCTGGAAGGCCTTCGCTTTGTATCAAGACTGGAATTGTGGTTTATATGGAAGGCAATTTATATGTAATCAGTTTAGCAAAATGAAGTCACTTTCATTCTTGGAAAAAATGGTCCTCAACCACCTTGTAGTTGCAGAGAAAAGATAAACTGTGAGCTGGCTGAGGTGATTGAATCCGGTGCAAAAGCTAGGGGGGTTTAGTGGAGAACAACCCTGAAAGGATTTTAATGAAGCTATTGGCCTGCATTAAAATCTATTCTCCCTAATTTCTGATATAAAGGGATTCAGGCTGGCTGATGCAGTATAATTCTACACGTCTGCATCTTCTACTTGCAGAAGTTTTAAAGCTGGCAGTCTGATTTCCATAGAGGAATGGCTACATGGTGGAATCAATTGTTATATTTATGCATGTAACCAGACAATTGCAAAGGATTCTAATTTAATAAGTAGATCGTAATAGATAAAAGATTATTGGAATAAGCAATGGTAATCAAGAATGAGAAACAGGCGAAATTCAAGGTACTGAGAAGCCAGCATGCATGCAAATAAGATGAACTCAGGTTTAAACACAATGTTAAACCAGTGGAAATTCCTGAAATAATCCAATAACACTGTATGGCTGTAATGCAAACGACTTGACATTGTGAGCAAGAGACTAATGTGGCCGCATGTCACACAAGTTGCCTTGCTAGAAAGGCTTAGAAATCGAGTTGCTTTCCCTATACAACAGGGCATGAAGTAATTCCACGGGAAAGGTGGATCTGGAATTGCATGAGCCCGCTTTATAACCAAGTCAACAAAAGCCAAAGAAGAAAAAAGGTTTGTCAAGCTGACCAAGACAATGATATCCTTTGTAGCTCATCCCCAAATCAATCACCAATCACGTAATAAGATTTCCAAAAGGGTCCTTTCAACCCTGAATTGACAAGAAACAAACAAAAAGCCTCCAGGATTAATGTAGATATAAGCTAATATAGAGCTAATCCTGAATTTTTATTTCCAAACTCCATTTCATGATGTTAATCTAAATGGATTGCTATTTCATTGATAGACATTCAACATGATCACCAAACACCTCTAAAATCAACAAGGCAAAATTTGCTACAGCACAATGGTATTTCTCCCTATGTAATTAACACTAATTACATCACATAATCAAGGCCAATCGAATTTTATCATTCTCATTCCTACAGAAAGTTATATCCCATGTTAATCTCTTTCCAATAGTTATCATATTCCATGGAAAAGGTAGAACAAAATAGATAACTAATGAGGAAAAAGCCACATTATCTGAACTCTGCTGAGAATCAACAGACAAATGCACACACACGTGCAGCAGACCATCTGCTGGACTCCTAAAGGTCACAACTGATGAAGACACTGCATTTTCTGCTTTCTTTTTCATTGTATTCATCCTAATGCTGATAGCAAACTGAAGGAGGAAGGCTTAAGATGAAGAGCATGCAGAAATTGTGGCTATCTCAAGCTCTCAACTAAAGCAAAAGACATTCACTATCTCACTAACACTATAAACAGATAATTCAGATTCTGGCCCAATGCCTCCACTATTCCCTTTTTTAAACCATGGTAAGTATTTTCACTGGATATCAAGCTTGCCCTTTTCCAGCCATCAATCCATATTGGTTTAGTCCAACAGCTCTATTAGAAGCAAATGGCACTTTACATGCATCCCACGCAATCCCAAAAATTAAAAAAAAAAAAGAAGAAAAAGGAAAAAAGTTGAATCATCCACATGTGGTTCCCATCCTAGAGCTATACAGGTTCACTGCTGGGTGCTGACCTCACAATTTGGACAATTTAGATCAGTGCAGAGTGGTCAATTCTAGAGAATATTTTCTTTCAAAGAGTTAAATTCTAGTAATCTTTTGCCTTCCTTTCCTTTTCTTCTAAATAACATTTCTGGGAGGGGAAAAGACTTCCACCAGCAGAAACATACAAAATTTGATTACAATTTAATCCCCAAATGTTAGATAAATTAAACAAACTTCAAGCACAAACATTTTAAGACACGGTTACAAGATTCTATTAGATAGCTATCCATCCCACACCGATCAAAAGACTAAACAGTTTCGACTTTCAAGCAATAAGCAACCATCAAAAACAGACAATGCATCCTAAAAATAATTCTAATAAGCAAATTATCAATATACCAAAATGAACCACAACCAATTCCATAGATCTGCATCAAATTCAACAAGAACCCATGAAATTCATGGATTGAATACTACATTTCTCTCATTCAAACTTCTTTTAATAAGAAGAAACAAAAGGGTTTTTCCTCATCTTTCTCACTTGCTGATCATTGCAATTCAATCCACACCCACATCGAGGGCACTCTTCAAAATTATCAATAGGAAAATTTGCACCAGCAATCCCTACAGAAAATTCAAGATCATCTCCTCTCCTTGAGACCTCAACAATATTAACCCACATGAACCAAAGCTTGACACTAACACCTTCCAAGCTTGAAAGTTTGCCCTTTGATATGTACCCTTTAATGGTATTCTTGTATTTCAACTGGTAAGACCCTTCCAGAGAGAAGCTACAACTACCATTCAAGAAAGCCGAGAATTTCCCCGATGAAGAGTCAAGATTATAGTCAACCACACCTTTTGGAAGAAGACCAATGGGAAAGTTGAAGTCTTCGAGAACCTCATAGGCTGTTGGCTTCTCGTTTCCAAGGGAGATTGTTTCTGAGGCAAACGATAGTGAAATGAGGAGAGAAAAAAAGAGAAACTGTGGTGTAAATATGAATCTTCGGATTAAGAAAGAACCCATCTCTCTGCTTCCCTTTCTCTTTCTTGTTTCCTGTCTGCTGCTCTTCCCTGTGTGTGGATAGATATGTTCCAATCGAAGCGGTGTTTTTCCTGGAACAAGGAATGGTAGTTGAAGACAGGTAGACAATGAGGAAATTGTTCAGGTGTTTCCTTCAGCCCCAAGATCTCCGTAATCTAGTAAAGAACTGTAAAGTGGAAGTTTTTTGGGCTTGAAAATTTTGGTCAAGTTCAACCCAACAGGCCTTGCTTTGATGCAAGACATTCCCAGAAATCCTGCTGGGCCTGCCCATATTTATTGGAGCTTCCCCATCAGTATTCATGCACTATAACTGAAATTTTTGTTGATAATATTATTGACAAATTCCAAAAATAAAGAAGGAGAATGATCATCTGTTTGATTTTTTTTTTAATAATACTTCGTTTGGTATATTAGGAAAGTGTGTGTATTTTTGCACTATAATCAATATTTTTGCTATTATTATTATTAATATTTTAATAAAAATAATAAAAATACAAAAAAATAAGAATGGTTTCATTCAATTTTTATCTAAACAATACTCGAGATGTGAGGTCTTCTCACCACACTGAAGCCTCAATTACTCCGACAAGAAAGACAAGGCAACGAAGACTTCAGTGCGGTGGGAAGCCCCTCGTTGCACTGTCTCGATATACCAAACGGATACTAAATTTAAACGACATTCAACTCATATTAATCATATAATCTTCTCAACTCATATTAATAATATTTTTACATATAATCAATGTTTTTTCTAATACAATTATTGACAATATTTCTAGAATAATAATAAAAATATGGAAAAAGAAGAATGATGTCATTGATTTTTTATCTGAATAATACTCGGTGTGGGGTTAATTGCTCACTGCACTGAAACCTTGCTTGCTCCGACGAAAGAAAAAAGGGCAACCGAGACTTTAGTGCGCGGTCGGAAGCCTGTCGTTGCACTGTCCCGATATACCAAACGGATTTTTAACTTTAAACTGACATTAAGCTCATATTAATCATAGTTCTCTATGCTTCATTCTTTTCTTCCAAATTGGTGCTTGAAGAGGATATAAGTTGTTCCCGCTGCCATTCATCTTCCAAATGATGTGATGAAGCTTTGGATGGTCTTTGCCTCCTGCTGTAGATTGCGTACAACAGTAGCTGAGCTGTTCCAAGGAGAAATCCAATCCCATTCGGTACCTACGAAAGAAAAACCAGACATTCTTAATTTCGACACCAATATTTGTTTCTTCTACAAGTGCAAATGATGCGAGTTTATTGTATTTTGCATGGTGAAACATGCAAATCTCTAAACATAACTTTCATGTCACCATGCAAATCTATAAGGGTTGTTGGACGTTGATGTTCAAGAATTTTTCGTTTTAGTTTTTGGGTTTTTGTGTTACTTTTGATTGATAGAGGAATTTTTTTTTTTTTTAAAAAAAAGCATCAATAGAGGAGCTTAATTACTCTATCTCTTACAAAAATTCTAATAAATTTTCTCTACCTTTCAAGAAAATATACAATTAGTTGGATGATGTATTGTATAAGTGATTTTTTGTTAATCATTCTGTAATGTTTTTATTTTTTGAATTTTTTTATTATTTTTGATAAATAAAATTTTTTTGACATTGTCTCTATTCTATTATGAAATTTTAATAAAATTTCTCAATCTTTCAAAAAAAAAAAAAAGTGTGTTAACTGCTTTCAAGTTTTTAATTGTGAATGTCAGTATCATTCAGGTTTCTTGCATGCTGTAGCTCAACTTGTTTTTTCTATAGGCTAAAACAAGACAAACATGATATATCCTATATTATTTCATGATTTTGTTTTCAAAATTATGTTTTCAAAAAAAAAATTATGTTTTCAAAACTTCATATGTATGATATGGGTTTGATCATCGTATAATATTACCTTTAATCATATTTATTATTAAATAATAAATATAAAGTATAATAATATTCATAATTATGACGAGACGAGATTGATTGTCGTATAGTATTATTTATATCTATTTATGTTATTAGATAATAATATAGAATACAATGATGATGATGATGATGATTTAGTTGAAGACTTACTCCCAGAAAGTAATCTTCGACGAGCACAGCATAGAAAGTCCAAACAACACCGTTTAAGAAAACGAAGAAAGAGAGAAGGAAGGGCATATACTCCACGCTTTTGGTTGTCACCACTGTTTTCTGTACATTTCAAGTTAGCATAAATTATATATATATACAAATGTTTCCCAGCTAATCCATTTCTTAAGATAAGAGCCTTCCATCATATAAGGGTTTCCCACATGAGAATTATTGGAACCATTAAGCATAAATCATATATATATATATATAGTCAAATGTTTCCCAGCTAATCCTTTTCTTAAGCTAAGAACCTTCCATCATATAAGGGTTTCCCACATGAGCATTAATGGAACCATTAATTAGCAACAGCTAGAAATGAACATTAGGTTTATATGTATAGCAATAAAGAAATCAAAGAAGGAGAATTAAACCATGAGCTTAGAGTGCTATGTTCTGTTGATTGAGAGGGCAAAGCCCTTACCATTGCTGCTAGAGGTGAGCCATACATGACAATATTGAGGCCTGCACACAAAGATCCTATCACATCAATCCTTAAATCTCCTTTCAGAATCAATTGAGTGGCCAAAACTGTTGCTGCTGGAAATCCCACATCAAGAAGTCCAAAAAGCATCGCAGTCTTCGCCTGTAAACACAAGTAGCAATGGCAAAGTGAATAAGCTATTTACTTGTATTTGTTGTGTCAGGATTTGACCCTGAAACAAACCTTGAATTCATTGTTTCAAGAGAGATTAAGTCATACCCTCATTGTTGGAGGTGCAAAAATGAGGAACAGAGTCACATAAATCATCTCAACCACAACTCCAAATCCGTTCACTGTGGCTACCAGAAAACTTCCGGGCTTTGTAACACCATAGTAAGTCCATAAAGCGGAATTCAAGAGGGTGCAAATGTAGGGAAGGCTCTTGAATTCTTCAGTTGATCGATTCCTCAGTATTCTCCGAAATGTGCCCCTGCAAAAATTCAAGGACAATTCAGCAAAACATTAGCATCAATGAATTTTATGAACATTATGGAATCAACTCCGAGTGCAAAAGCCTTTTCTGAGTCTGCTACAGATAGCTACTTCATCAACATCTCTGCTCTATCTCTTTTCTTTGCTTGTCAGGATGCTATGAGGTTGACCAGAAAGAATATACTTACACTGGAGAAAGAAAGAGTAACACTGAGATGATGTTGCCTGAATCAACAAAACACAAGCAAATTAAAAACAAAACTAGAAATCCGCAGCAATAACCCTGGAAACTATACTCACTGATCAATCTAAAATGCCTTACCTACTACTCCAACAATGAAACTTAGTCTTGTCATGGTTGAAGGGTAGACTTATTTTTTCTGGTAAGGCTTTTGTTGTGAAAAAGTATATATATGGAAGAGAGAGGGTCAAGAAGCTATTCCAATGGCAATAAACAAAACAGTTTATGGATCAACTTTAAAGTCATTGATTTTGTTTAGACTTGGAAAGTCATAGGTCTGGAAAATATATCAATATCTTGGTACTTAGTAATTGTTGATGATAATTAAAAAAAAGTGTAGTTTTGTTTTAATATGATTCATTTAAAATAGAAATTTACTTCAATGGTGGTTAATGTGAAAAAAAAAATTAAGAAATTAAATGCACTATATTCTGGAATTAATGACTCCCCATGTCGTAGCTAAGTTGATTTCTTGGTGAAATTGTTTTTTGATTTGACTCATGCACGGTAAACAGTTGCTAAGGAGGTAGGCAGGGAACATAAGCTGCCAATAATAATGTCATTTTCTTGGTTAAATTCCATGCAATTTAATTAAACTCAAAGTAAATTAATTTATCCTAATATTATTTAGAAATGGATTGCTTTAATTTATAATATCTAATGTTAACCTATAATTATTTAAGGCAAGACATGAATCCTGTGCCTGATATTTTATTATTAACTTCTTGTCTTGATTACAAACGCTTTAATTCACTGCAAAAATGCAAATTAAAGATGCAATGAAAGACCTTTCTTACTAGTTTAGCTCCAGCAAATTGATGGATTTGGGTTAATTACAGACCTAAATTCAGTCTCATATATAGCAAGTTGACCATTAATCTTAATCTACCATCTAATCAAAACACCTGCTGTGTTGTTGTTGATCTTGGTAGTGCAGGTGAGGTCTTAAGTATAGGTTTCTTAGATGCTTTCTATGGTGTATGTTGATCTTTGTATCAGTATTGCTTTATTTATTTGTTACTTTTCTTCGTAATAAGACTAGGTTTTTCGTTAATTCAACTTTTACAATGCATGTGATATGTTAATATAATTTCTGGTTTAGTAAAAGAAAAGCAAAATTGTAACCAAAAACATATGCTATATGTATAAATGGATGAACTTCACCAGTTTGCAATGTTTTGACTTTTTCTTAGATCCATTTCTTCAGGATCTTAGCAGTTTAAGGCTTACAAAGATTTTAATCTAAAGATTGCATTAGCTCAAGTATTGTGCATTTACTTAAACAATTATAAAAGAACCAGTTTAAGTAATGATCAGATACTAATCGGGCAGGGCACATGGGTATGATCTGATCTTTACCTACAGCTGTATATAGGCTAGATTGGGAGTCAATTGTAAGATATGCAAGCAGTTCAAACTATAGAAATTTGATGAACTAAGGCTAAAAAATCCTATTAAAAAATGTTTGGGAATCTGATATATTTTCCAACATTCAAACCGAATTATCAAAGAAATCTTTGATAAATTTTCAAGAAGATGTGCCATGTATGTTTTCTTGGATAAAGCACAAATAAGTTTTTTGCAACTAAAGCAAATGATCATGGTTTTTTGTTTTCCTTGCTATTATTGGTTCCTTAATTCTTCACTTTTTTTGGCTGGGGTTATTCCCAGATGTTGTTCACCAAGAGATGTATATATGTCTGGCAAGGCTTGCCTTATGTCTTGGCAATCTGCATCAACAAATAAAAAATTACAACAAGGTGGAAGTATATTTGATGTGAATCATCACTAGGAAAACAACAAAGGCCTGAAAATGGAGTTTCCCAACCCAAAAGAAAGACGCCCATAAGCAAGAATTTCCCAAGCTAGCTAGCTAAAGCATTTGATCTGCTTGTATCTTTTTAACTGGGGAAAGTCTGAAAATGCTGCATTCTGGGTCTTCTTCATCTTGTCACTTGCCTTAGAAGCAAAGTTTTCATGAAATCAGGCATCTGCTCTGCTCTCATTATTTTTAAGAGATGGACCGGAATCTGCTATGAGGTGCTCATGTTGCCAATCATCTTCCACATTATCAGATGTTCTCTTTGATTGCTTTGGTTTCCAATACATTGCATAGAGCACCAGTTGAGCTGTTCCAAGAACAAATCCACTCCCATTTGGTATCTGTAGGAAGGAAAAAATGCCCATTTGTTAGGGTCACAGATAGGAATTGAGAGAAGTGGTCATCTTCCCAATATTGCTTGTACCAATTATTTTGCAAGACCATGATCACTGACATGGCATAATTAAATCAATAGTATGATTCTAGTTAGGGGAAGATTTGTGGATGGGCACTCACTCCAATAAACCAGTCTCTGGTAAGCACTGCATAGACAGTCCAGGTTAATCCATTGATGAAAAGGATGAAGGAGAGGAGGAAAGGCATGTACTCCACACTCTTTGTTGTCACAACTGTTTTCTGCACTTTTTCAAAGACAAAAACAGGCATTGTTGTAACCCAATTCAACTCACTACCATACTGACATCAGTTTTGCAGCTTTTGCTTCATTCTTCTCCTATATCTATCAGATAAAAGTGTTGGGATTGATTAATTTAATTATGAGAATGAGTTGCTTAAGATTAACTTTGAATCAGAATCACTACATGAAAGAGGTTTTGAGGAGAATATTAATCGGTAACAAAGGTTTTTTCAAAACTTCATCTGCTTATGAATATTTGCAGTACAGAAAAGTTTAACAGACTGTTTACCATGATAGAAAGAGGTGAACCATAGGTAGCAACACTGAAAAGCAGAGACAAGAACCCTGAAATATTGATTTGCATTTCTCTGTTGAAGGACAGCTGACTGATCAAGACAACAGCTACTGGGAACACCACATCCAGAATACCAAAAAGTATGGCAGTTATAACCTGAAATTTCAGAATCCAAAGGCATTAAACATAATTGCTTACTTCTATCATAAGAGAATAACAAAAAGTGTAGTATCTGTAACATAATAATAACAGTAATACAGATTATAGGCTAAATCAGTAGGAATCGGTTAGATTACGAATATGATTACAATTGCTATTATTATGTTAACAATATCATCTATCTAGCTAAGGACCAATTAGAAAATACATCTTACTCTCATTCTTGGAGGTGCTAAGATTAGGAATATGATCACATAGATCAGCTCCAGGGCAGCACCAAAGCCATTGATAGTGGCCACAAGAATACTGTTAGGCTTGACAACTCCATAGTAAACCCACATGTATCCATTTAATAGCTTGACAACATAAGGAAGACTATCAAATTCCTCTGTCGATCCACGCTGCACGATGTGCCAAAATGTTTTCCTAGAATAAAACATTGAAATTATTCACAAACAAAGCATGGTTCCGATTAAACTTAATGAATCAAGGTCTTCAAAGATAACTGTTCATGTAAAGCATAAGAGGTTACTGACGCTGGAGAAAGGTAGACTAGCCCTGTGGTTATGTTCCCTGCAAATCATATATACAAGAAATCATCATGACCACTCTCCATGCAATAATCCGATGACAGTTAAAGAGTGATTGGTGTTTACCTAGCAACCCAAAAATGGTTACTAAAGTAACCATGCTGAGAGAATATACCAGTTGAAAGAAGAAAAACTCTGAAGAGCTATGGAGGTTTTTGCTTTGAAGGTCAACAGCAGTGTTTGAGTTATTATGGTCTCTTAAATTTCCAAATTCTGATAAAGTTTTAATATCGGATGGGACCAGTGAGGTTAAGGATGAGGACATTCCCTGTCATTTCATAATTTTAATATTATTTCTGGCTGAAACCAGTGCCACTATTTGTAAATTCTCTATTATCAAGTAAGGCCAAACAAATAAAAACACTGATGTTGTGCACTTTAAAAACAGAGATCCAAAAGACTTATGACTAAAACAAAAATTCTTTGCCTGCCATTTTGTCTATATAACATGCTTTGAATGCCTATATTATTGAAGATATTTTGTTGGTTTTTAGACTTTTCCATTGCTAGATCATGACTTGTCAGTGAAGTCGGCTAGTCAGTGAAGGCATGCATTGGTTTTTCCTCTTATTGAAACTTGTGTTCTATTATAGGTATCTTCATAGTAAACACATTCCCCTAAAGTCATAAACATAAAACACCAAAAATCACCTATATTTTATTGGTTTTCGAGTTTATATCACAATTATGGGTTCGCGATGAAGTGGACGATTCAATGAAGAGATATTGATAGGTCATGCATTGATTTCTCTTCCTATTGCAATAATTGAATGGTCCGTAATCATAATTTCAACAAATCATATTTTATAAAAATCATGAAAGGATAAAGAACCAAAAATCACTTTAAATGTCATATATCGATATGATTTTTTATATCGATATAATTTTTATTAGTTTTAAATCATTACATAAAATCAACCTAAACATAATATATGACATTTATGTCAAGGAAATCACTTGTAATAACTCGTAAAAAAAAAATAAAAAAAGAGGTGCAAATTTTGAGGTTGAATGTCTGGTTCTTAATTTGACTGACTGGTTTCAAGTTCCAACATTGTTAATAAAGTGTTTGTATAATTATCTGTTTGATTATAACATTGGATTTGAGTGAAATAGGTTGAGGCTTGATGGGGAATGGGTTGGGGGATCATGTTCAGTGGATTTAGTTTACTTTATTGAGGTGACCAAATAGGTCTTCTCTCTTTGATAAAAAAGACAAAGAAAAAGAAAAAAGAGGTGGACAAGGTTTTATGGGGTTTTGTCCTTCATTTTATCATTTCTTTATTTTTTAATGAAATAAAATGATATGTGTCTACAAGTAATTATTAGGGTGAAAGAATTTTACGATTAATGTATTATTTTTAAATTTTTTTACGAGAATAATATTTTAATTAAATAAAAAATATTTTTAAAAATATAAATTTAATTAACCTTAGCAAGTGAGTATAGATACTTTTTAATAAATAGACCTATCCCTTTTATTAAAACAAATAAAAAGAATTCAATTCATGGGAATTTATAAATGCTTATTAAAATTAGTTAAAATTTAATTTTAGATAATAAATTTTCATTGAATGCACTTTTTCATCAAATGTAAGAAAAAAACAATGCATTAATTATTTTATAAATAGGCCTAAGTTTAAGCCTACCGAGGAGAAGAGGCCACACCCAATCTCTGTTGGACTTGATAGCCTCCAAGAATCTGGGAAATGCTCAAGGAAGTGAAAAGTGGCCCAATTTCTTATGGCATGAAAGGACATCAGCAGATACATGAGCACCTCTCCCATATCCAATTTGTTGCCTCCTGATGCTCTTGTATTGTCTCTTATCTTTTTACAATGGCTTCCATTGCCAAAGAAATGAGGCCTTCAATCTGCACTCCTTTTAGGCAATGGACTGGAAATCAAGCTGGAATTATTTAGGGGCTGATCATGCTGCCATCCTTCCACCAAATTTTCTGACATTTTCTTCAGCTTCTGTGGTTTCCAATACCTTGCATAGAGAAGCAGCTGAATTGTTCCAAGGAAAAATCCAATCCCATTTGGTACCTAAACCAAGAGGTTCATTTCATTTAATTTGATGAAATGTATCGATTAACGTCATATGTCACATGAATAGAAAATATTGATTTATATTGAGATTTCAAAACAGTTAATCTTTTATCAGAATTAAAAACATGATGCAATATAAATTTAAAAATTTGTTTTAAAACAATAAAAATTAAGAGCTAACTTACTCTGACAAAGTAGTCCTTTGCAAGCAGCGCATAGAAAGTCCAAATTCCTCCATTGAATAAAAGGATCAGTGAGAGAAGAAAAGGCATATACTCCACACTCTTAGTTCTCACTACTGTTTTCTGCACAACGTAACAAGGTATGTATACTTCATGGTTCATACCACTAAGCATAATAAGGCAGTCAACCTTCCATTCAATAAGATTGAAAGGATTGATCAGCACACTCCTGCAGTATCAATTATTCTGCAGATCTGCTGAACAAAATCAAGGTTCTTACCATGGCTGGCAGGGGTGAACCGTAAGTGATCATACTGAAAACTACGCACAAGAGCCCTGCAACATTTATCCGCAGATATCCATCAATTTAACATGGAGTGAGTTAGCAAGATCGTAGCAGTCGGGAACCCCACATCCAAAATTGCCACCAGTGTCGCTGTCCTTGCCTGGAAAGTAATCAAAACCATGGCTATGGTACTAGTAATTGCCTTAAACAACAAATTAGAATAACTTACCCTCATTCCTGGAGTAGCAAAAATCAGGAATAGGGTCAGATAAATAGTCTCAGCAACAATTCCAAAACAATTAATGGTGACTACAAGCAAGTTGTTAGGCTTAATCAGCCCGTCGTAAATCCAAAAGTAAGCATTCAGAAATGTACAAACATAAGGAATGCTTTCGAAATCTTCAGTTGATCTGTGCTTCACTATTCTCCAAAATGTTTTCCTGCAGAGTTTCAGCATTTCAAAATCGATTTTTCTCAGTCACGGCTGAGGCCTGAATATCTGCCGAAAAGTAAACCATAAGCTGATTACTTATGTGGGAGAAAGGTAGACTAGGCCTGACATGATGTTGCCTGAAACATATAGAAATACAAATGAACAATCCTAAACTTCTCATTGCATTCAAAAAAGAAGCTCTGAGTTAACAAAATGCTTCACAGAAATCAACTATCACACCGACAATGAAGATTAAGCTTTCTTCTTCCATGCTGGGAAAGGCTCATAATTTTTCGGATGCAAAAGAAGTATGATAAAGTTCCTCCTGGTAATTTGAATATTGCAGCTGATCAACACTTGGCTTGAGCAGTCTGATGATCAAAGAGTCATGTTTCAGAAACTGTTCTCTAAACACATGATTATCAATTGGCTAGGTTCGAGATCTTTTTGTATACAACTAATTAAAATTAAAGTTCAAGAACTCTTGAAGAAAAACCCTTTTTTATCTTTAGATAACATGTTGCACATGGTTAGTAGGCAGACATACATCCACATTGACCAGTTGTCTGTTTGCTAACAAATGCAAAGACAGACTGGCTTTTGCCTTCATGGACAAGAATTTTTTTAATCTCGATATTTTATCTGGATTCTTGCTGCTTAGAGCCTTAGACTAGAGTTAGTATATGCACACCACAGAGGACATATACATTGCCATATATATATATGCAAGTTTCAAGTTTAATGAATCAAAGTATATGATCATGGACTCATCAAAATGTATGATGAAGTCGGTTCTTTGTACTAATGTTATTTACTTTGTATGTGACATTGTTTACAGTATGATCAGTTTTTGATCGAATTTTTGTATCGTTATATGATATTTAATATCTCTATTCGATTTACTTTAAAAAAAATTACATATAAAATAAGACCTCCAATTAATACAAATTTGATACATGTTTCTTCGAGGCTTCTTATATATACATATATAAATTCATTATACCATTAAGGTATATATAATTGTTATATATATGTATACATAAATCATTAATTTGAGTTCTCTAAAATGAAATCTCTTATTCGTTGTATTACTTTTTCTGCCACTACAGAGAACGGATGATCAGTGAGAAAACCATGTTGCTGTCCTTCTAACTCCACAAATTCAATCTTCTTCCCCAAGTGTTTCAACCTTGTAGCATAGTCCTCCACCCTATCCCTCAATATTTCACCCCCACCTACCACCACCAAAATTGGATCCAATGGCACCTCCGCAAGGTTTTGACCAGAAGATCCGAAAGGGTTCACCAAGGGATGATCCAAGGTACTTCCAGCTGGAATCGAAAGCCTCCAAAACCTGTGGAAATCAAACATTTCAACATAAAGCTAGACATCCATCAACATAATAAGAAAAAAAGCAGGGAAACCACCATTTTTGGTCCTTAAAATTTGAGTGTGACCTTTCATATATGTACATATCTCTTTAATTAGTTGGCCCTTTGACAATTCATTAGTATTCCATTCTGCAAATGATATGCCTCTCGTCATCCCATTTTCCCCACATGTCTTGCCGTTTTCATGTACATTTTTTGTTGCTCAAATTCAAAAGATTCTCCTAAAGTCATAATTGTTTCCACCATTGAATGAAATTTGACCATAGGGTATTAGATTTACATGCTTGAAATGATAAAGGACATGATTTTTGTTTGAGTAGGAGCATGCGAGTGAGATGCAAATTACATGGCCATGGTTTGTTCTTTTTGCATAGATAAGGCCAAGCCATCACTTTTAATCAAGTAAATCAAAACCTAATTGATAATTAGATATAGATTTAGATCTTAAACCGGAAATTATAATTGAGCTTATCGTTTCTTTATTTTGGATTCAATAATTGCAATAGTGATATTTTTGAATTCTTTTTCCCTTCACTATTATATATGATAAAGTTAATTTCACGTGTATAAGAAAGTGTCTATATATAAAATCATGTCTTGAGGAAAAGTATTGACAAAATTTTCAAATGTTCATATGCTAAAAGTTCAAAAACATGCCATGGAACACATTGAAGATTCTACATTTTCAGCTTATTGATGAAGAATAGAAGTATACACTTTACTTTTTGAATGAAAAGGATAGATCTTCTGTATTCCTTTCAAATCATGAATTATTTTATATTTAGGTCAATCTCAAAACAGTGAAGCTGAATCCACCTATTATGAATGTGGGTAGGTAGGGTATATTGCTTAATTAATACATTCAATCATGTGGAAAAGAATAGCTTATCCATGCAATTAGTGTCACAACCATGAATTAATTTTTTTATTAGAGTCTAACCAATAATTACATAAAAAAGATGATAAATTAAAATAATGACTAAATGCCAATATTGCTTAGCTCAATTGAATTATGTGTAGAGTTCTTGAATGAAAATCTTAGTCAATTTAACTTGGGGTTTTAGTGTTTATTATGAATAAATTAGGGAAATGAATACAAGTCTAAAATATATATTAAAGTCTGATGTTTTATTTTATTATATATGATTTATTTTTCAAACAAGATTAAAAAATAATTGTCTCATTTAATTAATTAATTAATTCTACACGTAATTATACTTGTCTATGGTATTTCAAAATTACAATTAATTGAAATATTTCTAAAGGTGAAAAAAAAATGTGTGTGATGATCTTACCTTTCATACATCTCCAAATTCCAAAATGCTTCACAAGGCCGCTCCTCCTCACTCCTTGTTCTCACACTCCCACCAAAAAATGGAGCCAGCAGCACATACCCTCGAACCCTAACCGGTGTCAACTCGATCGAGCCAGCCTTGAACCTAACTGCCAAGTGGTGAGCCAAGTTGCCCCCAGATGAGTCACCTAAAACAAAGACCCGGTCGAAGTCAACACCAGTCAACAACGTATCCATATTCTCATCATTCCCATGCATGGCTTGGCCCTGCAGCCACTTTAGGGCTTGGCATGCATCATCAACGGCTGCTGGCAGCCGGTGTTCGGGGGCTAGCCGGTGATCCGGCGCGACGACGAGCATGTTAAACGCGGCTGCCAGGCGAATAGAAAGGTTATGAAAATGTGGAAACGTGCGGGAACCGAAACAAAAGCCTCCACCATGAAAATAGAAGAGGATTGGAAGCTTCGCGTGAGAAGTGGAGCTGGTGGGTTTATATAGTCGAAGGTGAAGGTTTTCTTTTGAGTCGAAAAGAAAATCTTTGTAAAGGACTGAAGCATCATTGAGAAGAGGAGCGGCGCATGGGATTTCAGGATTACGAGAGATGGAGCCATCACTGTAGAGCTTGAGGAGGCCGAAGCAGTCTTCAACAACATGAGGAAGAGAGCCCATCTCTCTCTCTCTCTCTCTCTCTCTCTCTCTCTCTTTCTGTCCTTTTCTCTTTCTCTTTCCTTTCTTTCTTTTCTTTCTTACTTCCTGGAGGATTGATAAGGTGGTTTGCTGTTTAATAAAGTTTAATGTGAAATTCCTGAACAATATATAGAAAGCTGAAATGACTAAACTGAGGGATTATGCATGTAATATTCAATTAAATTTAAAGAATCAAATAATTAAGAAAGATTTGTAAAAAGTTAAACATGATCCATGTGGGCTAGCTGTCCTTGAAGATTTTTTCCGCTGTTATTGATTAGGAGGCAATAGATTAATGAAATAATACAATTAACTATTTTATTTTAAAATGAATTAAGTACATAAATCTATTTGTCTGTTAATTAAATGATTTGATAATATGTCTATTATATTTCAGATCCGTACGTAAGCATGACTTTAAGAATATATCATTATGATTTTAGATTTCAAATTGTGATAAGTATGTAAAATTTCTCGTCAACACAAGTTTTATTAAGCTCTTGAAACAGTCAATTATTCAACTATTTTCGTGTTTGGGAAATCAGTTGTTTGACAAACGGTTCCTCTACTCAAAATAGAATGTAATAAATTTGATTTAAAAATACTTTTTATAACACTTTTGATATATTTTTTATAGTACCTTTATAAATTTGATTGCATTATACAAATTTTTAACGGTATTATAAATAATAGTATTATGATAATATATATACTTAATTAATTTTGTTGCACATTGTTATTGTCTTCCAGAAGAAGTGTTCTAACTCTTTGGCATTGACTTTCTCCAACAAAGGTGTAACACCATTTTGGTTTTAATTTTCAAGTATTTTAATTACATAGGTTCATTTAAATTAATTTTTACTTAAAAAAGTTATCTTTTACCAGTGACATAAGAGGCGGCTATATATAAGTATAAAAACAGGTCTATTTACTATTCCAATATACGGTGGGAGAATTTTTTTAATTCCACAAAACGGGTTTAAAAAGTTGACATTATCAATTTACATATTTAAAAAGAAATTAATTATTAAA